AAACTCCCACATGTACGACCCAGAGACTCCAAAACCCCTTAATTAAGGAATATACCTTAAATTATGATAGGAGCCCTAATCTGATTGAAGGTATATTCCTTAATTAAGGGGTTTTGGAGGCTCTGGGTACGAGAGGGACGCCTCGCCCTCAGCCCTACCAACGAGCACCCAACGCAACCCGCCACCCCTCCTCCAAGAAAGAAGCCTGGAACCCTAAACTCTCAACCCCTAAACCGTAAACCCTAAACCCCTAACCCCTAAAACCCTAAATCCTAAACCCTAAGCCAAGATCCCGACCGATTGCGATAATTTGAGCGTCGTCTAGGAGGGGAGTGGCCTCGGCTCGCGGGATCACAAAGCTCAAGGGGCTTTAGCGGTTTAGGGGTTTAGGGTGTGTAGGGCTTACAGCTTAGGGCTTAGGGTTGAGGGTTTAGGGCTTAGGGGTTTAGGGTTTATTTTCGGGTTGAAGGGGGTCTTCCATGGGGCTCAAAAAGTCTCAGGGCACTCAATAACATGACAAGGCGCATCCTCACAAACCCGCTAAGCCCGAAACCCCGACCCTCAACCCGGCTGCGGCTGCAGGTTGCACGTAACCCTAGACCCCAAACCCTTTCACCGAAAAAATAAAACCCTAAAACCCTAAACTGTAAAACCAAACCCCAAAACTCTAGACTCCGAACACCCAAACCCTTAAACCGATAACCATAAGGTTCAGGGTCACAGAGCTTAGGACAGGACCGACCTCTTAATGTGGGGTGGCGAATCAGGGTCCCCCTTTTTTTGCTAGGGTCCATGTACCCATGTAGTGTATACTTATACCGTTCTCAAAGGAAGGGTAACATACGGTTTCTATCAAGTAGGGGTCCATCTAATTACCCAGGTAGTATATCCTTATACGGTTTCTTACAGGTTTCTTATACGGGTTCCAGAAGGGCAACATGAGGGTTTTCGGCAATGCCACGAGTACATGTAGCCATATCGTATATACTTGCACCGTGAAGTACTTCAATGTATATACAGGATGAGTACAAGGACCCTTCGAAACTGAATCCTTCAATGCAAGCGCAGCACAAACTCAAAGATTTGGAGTCGTAACAGAAGGACCAATTAAATCCGTCATCATTTGAAAGGGTTTGCTTTAACGGCTTACAATACGGGGTTTTAAAGGGTTCTGACATGTGTGTTTTGGGGTTTCGGGGTCTGCATAGTTAGAATAGGATTGGAATAGTGTTTTGGGGCCATACTCTACTATGTCTTTATTCACAGGGACCATACCGACCTCGATACTAAACGGGCATGGAAAGGCTCCAATTTTGACCTCATCATGCGACTGGTGCAGTCCAGCAGGACTGGGCTTAAGCCTCAGAACTCACTGCTGCCGAATTCTGCGCTGTGCCCTACCCTGTACTACACAACCCAGGAAGCCAACGATGCCATCACGGCAGCCCTGGCCGACTACTTCACGCGGGCGGAGTCCACGGCGAACGTCGTGGCGGCGATTGGGACCTGACCACGGCCTGGCGCCCTGCCCTGTCCTGCCCCTGCTGCCCCTGCTGCCCTGCCCTGCTGCCTTGCCCTGCCCAGTTTAGGGTTTAGGGTTTAGCTATGGCTGTATGCACTGGTACTACTGTATTTATCGCTATTGGCGTCCCCCAGGTCAGATCTGAGCCCACTTAAAGGATCATGGGACTTAGTAATTAGGGGTTATAATTCAGGTAACTACACTTATAACTACTTATAACCCCAATAAAGGTACGTATAACCTTACTTACTAAGTCCCATGATCCTCTAAGTATGCCAGACGCGTCAGAAGACCCGGCGCTTCTTGCTGCCCTGCTCCTCATTGGGGGAATCTGCTTGGCCCAGCAACCGGCTTACGGCAGGAGGGAGCCGGCCGTTCTTCCTTGGTTGAGGTTCAGGGTTCAGGGTTTCGGGTTCAGGGTTTCGGGTTCAGGGTTTCGGGTTCAGGGGTTAGGGCTTGGGATTTATGGTTCAGGGTTTAGGGTTCCGGGCTTAGGGTTCGGGGTTTAGAGTTTAGAGTTCATGGTTTAGGGTTTGGGGTTGACGGTTCAGGCTTCGGGAGTTTACTCCTGAACCCGTAGTCAACGACAAAAAGTCGCGGTCAGGAGGACTACCCGTGTATCATATGTCGAAAAGCGCATGTGTGTATGCACATCCGATTCAAGCATGAACAGAACACCGCAACAAAATAGGCACTGATTCAAGCAGTTGCATGTTGCAGCAGTACACATAAGCTACACAAAATACAACCCAAGCAAAGAAACAAGCAACATTTTACACATGGGCGCATACCTACATGGGAGTTTCCGAAAATGAGGGGTACCTCCTTTTGGGGTCCTTACAATAAGGATCCTACGATTTAGGGTACCATATTAAATTAGGTTCCCCAATTTTCGGAAACTCCCACATAAGTTCGAAGCGTTACATCGTTACCTGGTCGAACCTCGGCTCCGGATTGCTATGGGGGCCTTAACAATTAGAAGTAGAATAGGTTTTAAGGGCTCCTTTATAGTATACGCTTTTCAGGAACCCTGAGAATAACATTGCTATTAAGTTTTGCCCCTACTTTAGATGATTGGGGTTTAACCCCTCGTCCGAAAAGGTCTCCTGGGCTATATTCAAATACAACACTAAGTCTTGGGACAACACTAAATCCTAATCAAACGCTAAACCCTACAGTGCAACCGTCAAGCCCACACCCTAATCTCTACACCCTAAACTCTCTTAGAGTCTTCGACCCCTTACAGAATCCCTATAGATATAGATCCCTTGAAAGGCGTCTCAAAGAAATTCAAAGCCCAGGGCTCAGAAGGCACTGGAGCTTGGAATCGGCTGCCCCGTAGGCCGCACACGCGGTTTTCAGCGTCTCGAGCCCTTTCAGGGTCGCAGCCTTCGGGCTCAGGCTGCTGCTTAGGGGTTTAGGGTTTAGGGTTCCTTTAAAAGGGATCGATAAGGGTTCCTATAATGGGATCTATAAGGGTTTAGGGTCTACTTAGAGGATTATGTCACTTAGTAAGTATGGTTATAAGTAGGTTCTAATTAGGATAAGCCCACTTAGGGGACTTGTAACCCTAATTATAACCGACTTACTAAGTCCCATGATCCTCTAAGTAGGGCTCCTGCACCCCTAAACCCTAAACCTTAAACCGAAAACCCCTAAACCCTAAACGGATCTATAAGGGGTCTAAGAGGGTTTAGTGTTGAGGGCCTTAAAGCTGGGAGTTTGGGGTTTAGGGGTTTAGGGGTTTAAAAGGTTTAGGGGTTTAGGGGTTCTGGTGTAAGGATTTAGCTCGTTATGGTTTTGAAGCTTTGGGTTCAGGGCTTAGGGCTCAGGGCTCTTTGGCTTTTGGAAGCTCAACCGGGCTTGCTGTCAAGGAGGCTTTCACGGTTCCGGGTCTTGGGTTTAAGACGTCGGGTCGAGCACTTGCCGTTCAGATTGAGGAAGTACACGGTTTGTGTCTACGGTTAGATAGAGGACTTCCTGTAGTTCAGGGTTTCGGATCCAATGCATCTAGAATTACGGCTTAGGGTTTGGGTTTAAGGACCAAGAATCACGATTCTTGGCGTATCTCTGACTCTGGCTTAGGGCCTCAGCCGTAAATTGGGTACTGAGGATCTATATAGGATCCAGACCATGGGCTTGAGGTTTGAGGCAACCTCGCACCTTGGTCCCGGCGGCTTAGAGTGTCAGGTTCTGCGAGATGTACCCTAAGATCTTAACCCTAAAGCCTTCAGCCTCAATATTCACTGAGCTCAATAACTATCCATCCACGCCAGCCCCAAATCAAAAGCCCAAACACCCGAAGACCCCAGACTTACAGTTGTAGACCATGAGCCGCTAAACCGTAAACCCAAAAAGCCGACGCTTTGTAGGGTTTTCGGGTTAGAGATCAGGGTTTAGGGGTTTAAGGTTTAGGATTCAGGCCTCCGCGATAAGAACAAAGCTGTCGAAGGTGATCATGTCCCTCAAGGCATCCTTGCTTTCGTCGAGACTCTCGCTGACTCTTAATTAGGGAATAGACCTTACATGCTAGAGGGCTTGTCATCAGGAACTCTACACAGTCGACCCTAAACCTTTAGATTCTAATTGGCTGATAAAAACCCATCCCTAAACCCTAGACCCTGCGTAAACCCTTAGATTTAGGCTCCAAAGGATGCGTTTCGTGATTCAAGGAGTAGTCCTTCATTCAGGGGCTGAGGAGTCTCGGGTGTCTCCGACTTTTAGGACAGCAGCAGGACCACATTAAGGCGGGTCTGGTGCTTACCCAGAGAGCCCAACACCCCTTAATCAAGGAATATACCTTAAATTCTAAGGGGATTCATATTATGATTTAAGCTATATTCCTTAATTGAGGGGTATTGGGCTCTCTGGGTAGGTAGTTTAAGGCTCAGGGTTTAGATGCTCAGGGTTTGGGATTAGGGTTTGGGACTTCTGGTGTCCCTGGAGCCTAAAGGATTTACCGTTCTGGGACTCCTATAATTTCCATGTATAGACCCCTGAAGCACGTAGTTTCTTCAAGGTTCTTCAGCGTCTTTGTAGGGCTTACGTTTTGGAGTTCATCCTTTCTACTTGTCAGTGGACCTACAAAGCAGCCGTCTAAGTTCATAGGTTGGATTTAGGGGTTTACTTAAAGGATCATGGGACTTAGTAACTAGGGTTATAATGTGGGTAACTATATTCACAACTACTTATAACCCCAATTAAGGTACTTATAAGCTTACTTACTAAGTCCCCAGATCCTCCAAATAGGGTTTGGGGTTTAGGGAAACATACCCGAGCCGCTAGCTTTAGTGTACGGCTACAGTGAAGTCAAGTACCTGTTGTAGCTCCCCGTGAAATTTGCACAGCGTCAAGGGGAGTATTTTGGGGCTAGGAAGTAGGGCTAGGACCTAGGCCCAGAGATACTTTCAATTGCTTCTAAACAGTTAGTGAGGTGGCCCCACAGAAATAGAACAAAATAATTGCACACACAAAGGACTCAAAACGGCGAAGCGTCGGCAAGGATCTGCACCACATTCTCCACTTGCCATCGGTGTGCCAAGTCCAGGGCAGTCAAGACTGTCTTGTAATCTGGGCCGCGGCGTGTTGCCTGGGCCACAGTGAGGAAGGGAACAAACAGACCACCATTGACCCGACGTACGCACTGTCGTTTCAGCAATATGGAATAGAATAACAAGGAGTCGCCTAACCTAATCGCTACCAGGTTGCGTTGGTGTAGAGCATCTCGACGAAAAGTGATACACCACCGCTTGCAGCGTCCTTCACTTTGATGCGCTTCTGCTTGCCCTCTACCATGGAGGACTCCAGCATGACCCTGAGAACCGGTGATGATGCCATAAGGAGAATATCATGGGCTGTCACCTCGCGATCAAACGTCGGTGCACGCAAGCCCCACACTCTTGAACCCCCCACCCTGAGTTGCCAAGCGGTTAAGGTATACCCTATGGGCCCAAGGGTCAGACTATAGTAATTTATGCATTGCTACTACAAGATCCTAAACCCAAGCACCCACAACAATGGTGCTTTAGACCATGGTGTACCAGGATTTAGTGTAGCTCTTGGCGCCAAAGCCTAAACCCTAAAGACCGAAAATTAAACCCTAAAAACGAAAAACTCAAACCCTAAACCCTGAAAACCTAAACCCTAAACCTTAAAGCCTGAACATTTCCTGCAAGCCTAAATCCGAAACCTAAAAGAACCTAAACCCTAAACCCTAAACCCTAAACCCTAAACCCCTAAACCCTAAACCCTAAACCCCTTTCATGCTTCTTTTGTAAAACCTCGGCGCCTCGCCCTCAGCTGCTTCGAAGGTCACGTTGTGCGTTTCCTGGGGGCTTTTGTTGTTGCGGAAGTTTTTAGGGGTTTAGGGGTTTAGGGGTTTAGGGTTTAGGGGTTAAGGGTTAAGGGTTTAGGGTTTAGGGTTTAGGGTATAGGGTTTAGGGTATAGGGTTTAGGGTTTAGGGTATAGGGTTTAGGGTTTAGGGTTTAGGGTATAGCGTATAGGGTTTAGGGTTTAGGGTTTAGGGTCCAGGATGGGTCGCAGGACACTTGAGGGTTCAACGTTAGGGGGCGTTTTGCTTCTCTCCCTTTTTGGTATTGGGTAACTTTATAAGGAACCTAGGACTACAAAAAGAGGATAAGGGTACTACTGGGCATCCTACTTGTTGTTGCGAAAGTTTAGGGTTTAGGGTTCAGGCTACCGTGATAAAGAATCAACGGGGAAACCGGATAGTTTACCATAGATCACCATTCTTCTTGCAACTTAAAACCCTAAACCCTAAACCCTAAATCCTATACCCTAAACTCTAAACCCTTAAACTTGAAGCATCAGGAAGTGAAATCTGAACAAGAGCCGAGCTTCCGTCATTTCGAGGACCTTTTCCCACCGGTCGAGGACTCCTGGGTTTAGGGGTTTGGGGGCTTTAGGGGCTTAGGGGTTTAGGGGTTTAGAGTTTAGGGATTTAGGAGTTTAGGGGTCTATGGTTTAGGGTTTACGGGTCTAGGGGCGTAAAGTGAGGGCTGAGGAGGTGTCACAAAGATATGGGGTCCACGCCTCTCGAATCTCGAACCGAACTCTTTCCTACTATTCGGTCTTTAGTAAGGGGACCCCAAACCAAAAAGAGCAAACAGGTACCACTCAGGAACCTGGAGTTCTAGTTTCGATTACCATCTCGAACTGGTGGGGTCCTTGCTGATTTCAAGGATGTTGACTGTTACGTGTACCATGTATCATAGCTGTAGCGATTGCAGTGGTAGACTATTGTTATGAATGTTATCCAGACCCTAAACCCTAAACCCTAAATTACCCTAAACCCAAAATTACCCTGAACCTTAAACCCGGTCGTGGTTTCCAACACAACCCCTGCCTGGATTGATGGCGATTCGCGGAGCCTTCCGCGCCGGCATCGAGATCACCGAAACCTAGGGTCTCTGTGATACTTGTAATAAAGTAAAAGCCAGAAAGTTGGAATATCATTATCGTAACCCCTTTAAGGTAAAATATAGGGGATCCTGCCATTAACCCATATTCCAACTTTCTGGAGTTCCCTTTAAGAGTTCTTCAGGACCCAAAAGGTCCTTTGCACTGCTATGGGGGATACTTCCCCAAGTCATATAATAGCAATTCCTACTATGGAAACCCTACATTCTACCATACAGGTACTTTGGACCCTTTGTGGGAATATGATCAACAAAAACAATAATTAATCAACAACAATAACTATCATGAATGCGCTATTACTGCTGATTTTCTTGCTGTTGCTATTGTGAGTCTGTTTACTTTTTATCATGTTGATTGTTGGTATGACAGATATGCATACACGTACTTACCAGTCCTTTGGAAGCAGCCGGGTCCGCTTGGCTGCTGAGACCACCGTAACAAGCGCCAGTTTTAGGCTTAGAGCTTCGGGCTTAGGGGTTGGGGCCATGACTCCGAAAAGGAGAACAGAAAACCATGCAGCAAAACTCTGCCGAATGCACTCCGAGATGCAACAGCCTCCAAAAAGGTACACTCATCTGGAAATTCTACGCCACTGCCCATCAAAGCCTCACGCAAGGCCAGTGCAAGCGATAGGGCCGTGTGCCCCGCGCACTTGAGAGTGACGGTCGTGGTTTCCGGCCGGTGTGTCTTCCAAATATCGAAGCGATTGGCATTGTTTGGAGCCTTCTGCTGAGGATCTGCACCCATTTTCAGCAACCAGCTAAGTATCTCCAGGATGTTGTCATGAAGTTCAGGACGTGTGACACCATCCAGGATTGCTGCATGCAACACAGGTGTCTTGTAGGGGCTGTCGCACAGACTCCAGTCGAAGCATACCGGAGTGAAGCGCTTCAAGGCCTCGATATCTCCCAACTTGATGAGACCACAGATAACACTGCAGTCGCTTCCCACCGACATGCCAGCAGAGGGGTCTTGGCAGCCAAAGAGAGCCTCCAAGAGGAGATTCCTCAGCCCACAGAGCCTCCAAGAGGAGATTCCCCAGCCCACAGAGCCTCCAGAACCCTCACCAAAAAAAAGCGGAGAGAGGCTCAGCGCGAGGGCAGCAAAGTGCCCAATCACGGCAAGACACCGTGGGAGGTGCACTGTAGTTCACTCGGGAAACGGAGGCTTTTCCTTGATGTTGGGTCGGGTCAATCGGCTGGGGTGGCTCTATGGCATTGTCTGCGCTACTGCCATGGGGTGGCAATTACAACTACGACACACATTGCGGTCAGTCTTTGCAGGTATCCACAGCAGTTCCAGCTCTGCTAAACATGAACCCAGATCATCATGAAGGATACACCGCACTGCTGGAGCCGCAAAGCTATCCTGGCATGCCTGCTTGCTGAGGTCGTCAAACCTTCCCCATAGACGCCAAGATCCCTTCATTGCAATGATTACTGACCCTGAACCCCTGTTTAGGGTTTAGGGTGTAGACCCCTCACTGAACTCCAATCATGATAAAAAACTGTAAACATCTAATAGAACCCTATGGCTTTGCACTAAATGACGGTAACAATCATGATAGTACCAGTAAGAATTGTAAAAGTAGCAGTAGTAGAACTAGTAGTACCTACAAATAATAACATCGGCAATACTAATAGAACGCTCATAAGAAGAATGACAGTAATGACAACAGCAACGACAACACCAATAATCATGTGTAGTAGTAAGAAGAACACTAGCAGCAGCAATACTGATGGCAACATTTAACAAATCAGAAGATTCCCAACTTCCCAAACTCCGACACCCTGCAAACCAAGAGGGTCCACAAATACCAACATTATGGAATTAGGTCCCTAAACCCATTATAAGACTGGTCTTTTGGGACCTAACTCCATAATGGTGGTGTATAAGACCCTCCAAACTCCATAAGGTATCCCTAAACTGTAAACTGTAAACACTACCTAATAACCCTAAACCGGCTAAACATATATGGACCCTTGGGCAAACAAGCGAGCCAAAGGACTTCGATGCCATCTTCCCGGGGGACGCTCCAAGGACTCGGACCTTTTAGGCGTTAAGGCTGTGGCTTTTGTAAGGTTTACAGATTAAGGGTCTAGGGTTTGGGGATTTAAGGTTTACTGCCGATGAATGCTTCAGGATCTAGGTTCAGGGATGGTTGAGGACTTTAGGGTTTAGAGTGTAGGGTTTAAGGATGTAGGGTTCAGGGTCTAGGGGCTCAGGACTTATTGATTAGGGGTTCTAATCTATACCCTAAACCCTAAACCCCTAGACCCTAAACCCTAAACCCCTAAACCCTAAACTCTAAAGCCTAAGCCCTAAACCCTAAACCCTAAACTCTAAACCCTAAGCCCTACACCCCTAAACCCAAAGTTCTAAACCCTAAACTCTAAACCCTAAGCCCTAAACTATAGGGTCTGCTGGTGCTGTGCGGCTTTGTCGACTCCGCGGCTGCGTGGGGTTTGGTACTCAAAGGATCATGGGCTTTAGTAAGTCACGTTATAAGTACCTTAATTGGGGTTATAAGTAGTTACAAGTATAGTTACCCTGATTATAACCCTAGTTACTAAGTCCCATGATCCTTTAAGTAGGGTGTGATACCTTCCCAGAGAGTCCCCAGTTGGCTGAACACACGAGGGTCCTAGGGTTCCTTTAAGGGCTCCCTTAACGGCTCCGTTAAGGGTTCTATAGAACTATATATACTAAGACTACCATTATGGTTTCTTTAAGGGCTCCTGTAAGGGTTCTTTTAAGGGTTCTTTTAACGGATCTTCTAGGGTTTAGGGAGTTTAGGGTTTAGATTCCCATATACACTGGCATTATGGAATTAGGTCGTAAAGACCATCCCTATTCTGGGCTTGGGGACCTAATTCCATATATAGAGTTTAGAGGGCTCTATACGCATGTACTAGGATTTTACGAGGGTTGTCCAAGGATTTCGGTGCTTTTGAGACGAGTTATAAAGGCAAAAGGATCCTGCTTCATAGGTTACACTTCTGATGCTACGAAGGTCTCCGCGGGCTTTGCTCTTCGAGTCTAAAGTCTAGAAGGTTGCGCTTATTTGTAGGGCTTGGAGTCTACAGTAGAGCTGAGTGTGGACCGTTTTGAGAGTTGTGGGAGCGAAAAGATGGTCTCGCAAGGATTCTTAACGGAGTGTGCAAGGCATTATTGAAGATTCCATGTGGGTGCCGGCAAGGTTAAATACAATTCCAGATAGGCCTTGGGGTTGGAATTGTTTTGAAGCTTGGGTTTACGCTTGATCCAAAACCCAAAACCCTAACATCATATTCAGTAGGTTCATTGTCTTGGGCTCTTGGGACGTGGAGTGTAAGGCTTCTGGCAGAGGAATTGGTGGTGGGTCTTGCAGCCGACGCCGTGCCTTGAGATGTAAACCGTTGCACCCCAGAGTCTGGAGACTAATTCCGAAACCTCCATAGGCAACCCTATTGCAAAACACATACAACACCCTAACACGACATACATACATATATATATATATACATGTATATATGTGTGTGTATATATGTATAGTAGCATGTGTGGTAAAGCAGGAAACAACGGCTGTCACCCGATCATTCAGGGAATCATGCGAAGGGGCAGCTGTCATAGCCGCAAAGTCATCTGCCCACGAAGCTGGGCTGAGCTTGCAAGGCTGTACAAGAGCATCACATGGGAGAGCCGTTTCACATGGCGGCAGGGTGGTGTTGAGGCATCGCTCCTCTAGAACCTGGTCAACCGATCTGACGTACGCACTGAAGCTGATCGCGAACAAGATGTCCGCGAGGGGGTCTCCCGGCCTCACACCGGAGCTGGTAGACACCAGCTCACAGTGTTTGTCCAAGCGGAACCAAGTACCAACAAACAGCTCCGGTGCCACATTGCGTCCTCGCAGTACCGGGCTCTCGTTCACTTGGTACTGGTCGCGATCATTGCCACAAGGTGTTCAGAACCAGCAAAATCGGCAATATGGTTCAGACATAACGCATTGCATATATGTATCTATACATATGTATATATATATATATATGTGGTCCTCGAACTCTCAGACTCTAAGCCTTAAGCCCTGAGCCGGCTCCAGCTTCTCAAGAACTCGGTATGGAAAGCTAAACGACCTGAGCTCCTCGAACTCACAGGACCTTCAAACCTAAACCCTGTAGGGTTTAGAGTTTAGGGCACCCTGGAAACCCTGACTGATTGATTTTTTGCAAACCCCCTTGAACAGTTTGGGGCGGGGGTTCAAGCAATTTAGGAAGCTTAATTCAAGGTGTTGGGTTGATTTAGTACTCTAATCATAACAAGCAGCCCCAAGTTAAAATACTTAGGTCTCTTTACCCGGGGGGTCCATATACCCAGGGGGTCCATATACTCTACCATTATGGAATTAGGTCGTAAAAGACCGTCAATACGATGGTTCTGGGGACCTTCATAATTCCATAATGGTAGTGCATATGGACCCTCTGGGATAACCTTAAACCCTAAACCCTAAAGTGATCCTGGCGGCCTCTGTCGGGCGGTCTTGCGGCGTGGGGAATGCAGGTTCACTCGCGGGCGACGCTTCCTCGGGGCTCTGTGCTTTCCGTGTTTCTTCCCCTAAACCCTAACTCCAGTAAACCCTAAACCCTAAACCCTCCTCAACCCTGAACCCTACACCCCCGTAAAAACTAAACCCTAAGCCTGTAAGGAAACCCAAATGGTGCCAAAGGGCTCTCTTGAAGGGTGCTCTCGGCTTCGAGAACATTCGGGGTTCCCCTTTAAGGACTCTCCAGTGTCTGTGTGGGTTACTTTAATGACTGGTTTCTTGGTCAGAATTTGTAAAATTGCTTAGGATTCAACTAAGGGTCTAGTGCTTCAGTGTTCTATAACGGTCCTATCATTCGTACACTGGCTAAAGTAAGGGGATTAGGGCTGGAGCTTACGTTGCGGATGGGGGACTGGGGCATAGATGCGGTTTTCGAGGCGTATGAGCTTGAAAGGGTTAAGGCTTTGCGGCTTTGGACAACTTGCCCAGGCTTCGTTTGGAGCTTTCAAGCTTTCTGCATAATCCTCTGGCCCGATTTCCAGGAATGTCCCTGAACCTGAATCCCTGAACCAGGAACCCCAAACCCTAAATCCTAAATCCCTACACAGCTACCTAGACCCCCAAAAGTAGGTAAAATAATGGCCCAAAACCAATAAAAGGCTATTATTCTACATACTTTTGGGGTCCAGGTACCGGGTTAAGGGTTGAGGGGGTGTTCAGAGCAGGCGCAAGCACAGAACCACCGCAATGCAGGCGCGCTACCGATAGGAAGAGGATTCTGGGGCACCCTGTATATAGTCAGAAGCCCGAAAACTAGTATGAATGCTGACACAGGCTTCTATGCTACCACAGGCCCCACGGTAATTACAGCATAAACGACCACTAACTTAATCCTAGCAAAACCCTAGACCCGAGCAGTGCAAACCACAAATCTTCAATCACCCAAAGGGTCCTTTGTACTGTTATGGGGGATACTTCCCCAAATCATAATAGCAATTCCTCATATAGAAACCCTACATTCTACCATACAGGTGCTTTGGACCCTAAACCCTAAACCCTAAACCCTAAACCCTAAACCATTCAGGGTCGAGGGACAAAGGAGGCAAATGCCGCGACGAGGAATCGGAGGAGGAGGAGTCGCTGGAGTGGTCGGAGTCGGAGTCACTTGACGAGTGCCTTGTTGTTGGGTTTAGGGTTTAGGGTTTAGAGTTTAGGGTTTAGGGTTTAGGGTTTAGGGTTTAGGGTTTAGGGCTTGTTGTTGGGTCTCTTGGAACCCCAAACCCTAAATTTTAAACCCTGAACTCTATAAACCCGAACACCCCAAACCCTAAACCCTAAACCGTGGGCTCAGGGTTCTACTGTGCCTTGCTCCAGTAGGATGCCAAGCAACGCTCTCCTTCGAGTCGTTAACTGTTTTTAGGGTTTACCTAGACCCACAAAAGTAGGTAAAATAATGGCCCAAAACCAGTAAAAGGCTATTATTCTACATACTTTGGGGGTCCAGGTAGGGTTTAAGGTTCATTTTGCTCCTGTCTTTTCCACTGAGCTATGTGTAGAGAATACAGAAGGAAACCGTGACTTTCAATATCGAGCCGGAAGCCTCGCAAGTCTTTGAGGCCACCACCGAAGGTCCTGTACTTGGAGGGTCGGGGAACTTAGTAAGTAGGTAGTAAGTAGACTTATAAGTACCCTAAAAGGGACCCTAATTGGGATTATGGTACTTATAAGTCCATAAAATAACCAGTTACTAAGTCCCCCGACCCTCCAAGTAGCCTCCAAAACCACAACTCCAGATCTTGGAAGCCCTACAAGCCCTGAAACCGCTCGCGACATAAACTTGGAAGGTCCTGAACCCAACCCGTAAGGATAAAACTCAACCCCTGACAGAAGTGCCTACGTAGTCCGCTCGAGATTGAGAACAAGCAAAATTGAACGCGCACCCATTTCGAGCTTCAGAGGGTCCGTAAATTCTATGTCACGACGGCCCCTAATTGCAAAATACGATTTAGGGTTTAGGCTTTAATCTGGAAAGATCGAGGTACCCCCAAATCGATCTCGAAGCTGCAGGCATCAGACACGATTCATGCGATACGTGTCCTGCATCTGTACAACTATCTCTGTGGCCCGAGGAACAAGACAGCATTAGCAAAATACCAAAGACTTTGCTGCATAGTATGCTGAGTCTGTCCATGTCTTAGCCTGAAACCCGATACAACCCTGAAAGGAACCCCTTAAAAGCCCCCCCCAAATCAGGAACTCCTTAAAATTGTATTGTACCCTAGTTTCTGAAACCCTCATTCCCGGCGGAGGAACCCTAAACCCTAAACCCTAACCCTGCCAGTACCCAAGTTTTACCCCTAGTTTCTGAAACCCTCATTTCCGGCGAAGGAGCTCGCTACAAGACGGCACCGACTCCTGTGGGCTGCTCGGCCAACCAGGAATGTAATTCCCTACTTGGAGGATCATGGGACTGAGTAAGTAAGGTGATAAGTACCTTAATTGGGGTTATCAATAGTGATAAGTATAGTTACCCTAGTTATAAACCCTGCTCTAAGTAGCTCTTACCTGGACCCTGAATAACCTACTTGTTCAACTCGACACCTAAGCCAATTTATCCCTGCATGGCTTGTGGAATGACCATCAATTTATCCATCCGTGCATCGACAAATCCGTCCACCCCGTGCATTCCAATCCAACCCAAACCAACCCACCGAACCCAACCGGATCGAGTCCAGTCGAAGCTGGCCTATCACAGCACGTCTGTATTTGTATGCATGTATGCATGAATGTATGCATACATATACACATACATTATGAACATATAATTATATATATATATATATATATATATACACACCCATTAGCTTAAACTTCAGAAAGCACCGACCATGCCGTTACCCACTTTGTTGGTAGGATCCCCATAAAAAGGTACATAGTGGGGCAATAGTAGGGCTTATGGTAAAAATAACAAGATATGCTAGCTGCTAGCCTTTCAAGTATCGTAGAATGACAAACCCCAACATGTTAAAGGTTACCTATGCAGCTACTAAGTAGTGTAGTCTGGGTTCTTGCTGAGGCTGTTGGTTCAAGATAACATAACAAATTATTAAGGATCTAAACACTCAGTAGTCGCAACAGATTTAGGCGGACTCTTGCAGCTGGGCTCGGGCACTCAGTAGGCCATACACGATGAACCCAAAATAAACTACCTAACCTACTGATGAACCCTCACTTATTGACCATGAACCTATAAAATCCTAAACCCTGAACCAAAGCCCTGTAAAACCCCAGGTGGCCCAACCCTTCTCGGGTCCTTGTCCTTGCACTCCAAGCGGACGTCTTCGATATCAATCATGGCTGCTGCGGCAAGGCGAGCCGAAATTGCTGCGCTGCGCGGCCGCCGTCTGCTTATGCAATCATTTTTGGGGCAAGTACGAATATACATATAATGTGGAACCATAAGGAATAGGACGGGTACAATATTCAGGCGTCTGCACTAGTAGGGGGCCTCAGGTAGGTTGAAATCATCTGCTCATCCTCCACAAAGCTCGCAGCCCTCTCCGAAATCCCGTCGAACATGCCCAGCCCTTAACCCTACACTCCTAAGCACACTCCCAAGCCCTTTTAGGGCTTATAGGGTCTGGAGCCCTAAACCCCCTTCGACCCATGCGACCCTAAACCCTCTATAACGCCGCTATAGCGTCCTATGAAACCCTTTAAGCCCCCCGCTCCACCCCTCACCGCGCTGAACGAACACTTAACATAAGGTGTTAGGAGTATATTCAAGTATACGTATATATATATATATGACTCTGAGACAATAATGTCAAACTTATTTCTGAACGTTCTGCTGTCTAGTGACACTGGCCTTACATGCGACCCTGTGATGAAGTCCTCTGATCCTGGTAACCCCCCCTGTACCCTACACGCAGCGCCCTGCCCTTATCACAACCCTACAACTTGGAACCCCCAGAACCTGACGGTAGGTAGCCTACAACTACCTGGACCCCCAAAGTATTTAGAATAATAGCCTTTTATAGGTTTTGGGCCATTATTTTACCTACTCTTGAGGGTCTAGGTAGAGCCTAACATGCACAGCAGCTTAACGGCTGGCAAAATCTCTTTGTAAGTCAATATCTTCGAAACGAAAGATAAGGCAAATCACGAGCATTCCAAGTTGCCACCTAGCGCGATGCAGGTTTTCTGGCTTACACCCCCCCCCCCCCATCAGACAGATGGATGCTGCGAACCTGGGTCGCGATCGCCGATCGCGTCACACACTGCAGTGTGACCCCTGGCTTCGTGCGAGCACTGGGGCATGTCCGAGATCAGGCTTCAAGTAAACCCGAATCCTAAACCCTAAACCCTAAACCGTAAACCCCTTAAACCCTAAACCCCTAAACCCTTAACCCTAAACCCTTGGCCCCCTAAACCCTTAAACCCCTAAAACCCCTAAAACCCTAAAACCCTAAACACCTTAAACCCCTTAAACCCTAAAAGCTTAACCCCTAAACCCCTTAAACCCAAAACCCCTAAAACCTAAACCCCTAAACCCTAAACCCTAAACCCTTAAACCCTATAGATCCCTTATAGAACCCCTATAGATCCCTTTAAAGGAACCCTAAACCCCTAAACCCTGAGGCGGCTTCGAGGTTCAAGGTTGAAGGTTTCGGATCCCTCAACCCTATGGCACTTGGTTAGGTTTAGGCTTGAGGCTTTAGGGTTTAGGGTTTAGGGATTATGGGTTTAGGGTTTGGGGGGTTTAGGGTTTAGGGTTTCGGGCTTATGGGGTTCCGGGTTTAGGGGTGAGGGTTTAGGGCCTTGCTTCGTGACTTCGTGTCAGTGTTCTTGACAGTGAGGGATCGACGTTCTACCAGAAAACTACTTGGAGGTTCAGGGGTAGTTATAAGTGGGTTAAGTAAGGTAACTATAATTACAACCCATATTAGGGGACTTATAACTCCACTTATAGCTACCCATGAACCTCCAAGTAGGTTACCTCATGTGGGACACTGACAATGAGGATCCTCCTATTTAATTTAACCTCCCTATTTTCTGCAACTCCCTCCGCATGTCTACCTCGTCCGGACCAGTGCTACAATTGTCCTGATTGCGAGCATTCTCGACACGTGTCATTATCGACTTGATCTGCTCTGCCAGCCGCAACTTCTATAGCATATCGTCGTCGTTCAGAAAAAGACAAGCCTGTCTAGGAACGGAGAGCTTCAAACCTTGTGACTCCTACAGCCTCACCCTAGACCACAACACCTAAACACCACGAGCGGCTTGCAATGAAGGGCCGAAGAGGCTAGATTTTGGAGCTATATACTCACGGTGATGAGGTTAAGAGTTCACGTAGGTAGCCAGAAAGCTCAATCCCTTTCTCCCCCAAAACAAGCAAATTTTAGGGTGGGGTTTAGAGTTTATAGGGTTTCAAAAAAGATGAAATATCCAAGCAACAGCTAGCAAGACACCACCCCTGACCCTTCCACTGCAAGCCCTCATCATCACCTCCTAAAGCCTCAACCCTTTAACTGCAAACCCAAAGTATATAACTCCTGACCCGAAACCCTTGCACTGAGGATCCCAATTAGCGCCCAAACCCGAAACACTGAAACCCTGCAAATTTACACCTAGGGGACCTGGGGCTATCCCATGCCATTGGAGCTGCTTCAGGCAATGAGGTTTCGAGCTCACGTAGGTAACATGGGGGCCTTAGTGATTACCTATACTATTTGGGGGTGTCCTTATTATATATATATAATACAACGGGCCCCAAGACCTTATTCTAATCAATAAGGCCCCTATATTAGCCAGAAAATTCAACCCCCTTTCCAAGATGAACAATTGGGGCTTCGGGCGTGGTGGTAATAAATAATAAACAGATGCAAGCAGCCATCTGCAACAAACCAGGACTGCACAATCGTCAAGCCTTGCCTTTTGCTAGGATTGCCCTAAGATTGATGGTCAGTCAGCGTTTTGGAAGAATGACAGTTTGCTGAGCCTTTGCACTTGGAGTGCACTGAATCGCACTTGTTCTCGAGCAATTTGGGTCTGAGACACCTGAAACATCAGGAACATACTAAGTACGTCTAAAGTAGAGTTTCAATAAACATAACTATACAAAAAAGTAAGCTGATGCTTTTTTGCGTACATGACAGTTCTGCTCTACTTCTGACCTGGCCCATGTACCACATGCCTGATCCTCTGTGTGAGTGTGTGTGTGTGTGTGTGCGCGTGTGTGGAAGGCACACCTGTGGGCCGACGATTTAAATGCAAGGACCTAAGGGTAAGACTGACTGGTAAACGTAAACACCATCCCTCTCCAGTCCCTAGAGCATCCTATTCTTACATAAGTTATTAAACGCACCAACTACCTAAAATATACCCTAAATATCCACAATTATAAGGGCTCCATTAAGAGGGCCATTGGGGGGGGGTCCTGGCTTACGGTTTTTAGGGTTTAGGCCTAAGCATCAACTGATCGCTTGAACCAAGCCCTCAACGAGAACCTGACGGAATCCTCGGACAAGGGATGAGAAGCTACGACCGGGTTCCCTTACGGGTTTACTTAAAGGATCATGGGACTTAGTAACTAAGGTTATAATTAGGGTAACTATACTTATAGCTACTTATAACCCCAATTAAGGTACTTATAACCTGACTTACTAAGTCCCATGATCCTCCAAGTAGGATTTTATGGTTTATCAGCTCGTGCCCCTTCACAAGCCTCCACGAACACATCTTCGCTGTCGATATCTCCAGGCGCCTCGTGGTGGCGACGTCTAGGGCTTTCAGGGTTTAGGATTTAGGATTTATATAGGTTTTAGATTTAGGATTTAGATTTAGGATTTAGATTTAGGATTTAGATTTAGGTTTTAGATTTAGGATTTAGATTTAGGTTTTAGATTTAGGATTTAGTTTAGGGTTCAGCTGAAACCCGAAGGACTGATTCATACACACAAAGCTGCAAGGTATCTGCAAATGCTAGGAGGTTCAGCATGCAGAAGTGTTGCACATGTCCAACAGCCTTTCATGCGAATTATGCCGTGATGATAAAGATGCTAATAGTGCGGTTGACTACGGGCCTTGTCAGAAACATCACATCACGGTCAGCAACCCCTTACGTGGTGGTCATTGCTTATCCTCACCATCACCAGCAACAACATCAGGATGATGATGATGATGATGATGATCCTCATCATCATCGTCGAAATCAGCATCCTCATCATCACGTGCTTCACCATCATCATCATCATCGTCGTCATCACCGTCATCATCATATTCAGCATCATCATCATCATCATCATCCAACCCAGCAACATGATCAGTCTCCATCACGGTGTTCACAACCTCAACCATATACATGAGAACCATCATGACCTTCGTACTCGTCAACCTCTTCCACGTCTGCATCGGGGTTCTTTCCATTATCACCACAAACCGAATCACAATGATGTTCCCCATCCTCCTGCTCCTCATCACCGTCGTAATTTAGTCGTAACCGATGCAGCCATAAACACCAGGTCACCATCGCCGTCATGTTCAACTTCTGCCTCAGTGTGATCAGAGACTGTGATCAAGGCCACCGTCCCAATATGATCATCCTGCCAGTGCTTGTTATCTTGCAATCGTCATGGCTTTGTCCGCGCGAGAAAACACACCCGGAGGTACATACATATGTGCATCTATCTACAGACAAACGATCCCTTCGAAAGAGCTCTTAGTAGGATGCCCAGTAACCTAGGAATAGAAGGAAAAGCCTGGATAAATATCAATATGGGAGTTTCCGAAGATTAGGGGTACCGGGGTACATTATTTTGGTTTATGTTGGCGTCCTTACAATAAGGATCCTACTATTTAGCCTAATTACTGTGTTAGGGTCCCCTATTTTTGGAAACTCCCTTATCGATCCCTTTGAAAGATCTCTTACAGATCCCTGCCCTGAACTGGGGTCGCGGCCGCAGTCGACAGTGGCGACATGGACAGCGAGCCGTCGGCAACCTGCCGTGGCCCTAGAAGACCCTGGATGCCTACTACCCAGAGGGTCCATATTCAGGATTAGAGTTTAGGGATTAGACGTTCAGGGGTTAGGGTTTGGCATGGCGGTACTGTGCAGCAGCGCAACGTCGGAAAATATTTTTCTACGATGAGAAGACTTTGCATCATACACTATCCTTGATCTCTTGGAATGCAGTAAGTGTCAGGCAACAGCCAGATGTGGGAAAATTGTGCAAGTCCTTTGCGTGCGGAGGTCTGCAAAAAGGTTCTAGAGTACTGCAAGAGCAATTGGAGCGATGTCGGCGTCGGTGCTCCACTGGATCCCACGAAGATGCAGACTGCAGCTGAAAGCAATAACGCCTTCTGAAGGAATGCAACAAGCTTCTCGCTTTTGCCGCAAACGAACTGCCAACGCTGCGCCAGCCGCATCAGACGCGATGATCGGCACCACAGAGCCAACACCAGCTAGGGCACTGCGAGTCCTTGTCAGAGGGTCCTTCTGCGCTGCGAAAATGTCAACCCCGGCTGCCCATCCCTCGCGCAACTCTCTGAGTTATGTAGCAGGTTATGCAGAGACGAACAGAGGGTTAATAGTGTTCCTGACTCTCCTTGCAGTACCGATGTCTTCCTGTTTGTGTCCTCCCAGCAACATATACAAGGACAAAATCCCCAACGAGCAAGTAGGAAAGTAGTACCTACATAGGGACTTCCTTGAAGCCAAAGTTGCCCAGAGGGTCCATGTACACTGCCATTATGGAATTAGGTCCTAGAAGACCATCCCTATTATGGTTTTGAAGACCTAATTCCTTGATGGTAGTGTATATGGACCCTAAACCCTAAACTCCCTAAACCCTTAAAGGAACCCTTAAAGGAACCCTTAAAGGAACCCTTAAAGTCTTAAAGGAACCCTTAAAGGAACCCTTAAAGGAACCCTTAAAGGAACCCTTGAAGGAACCCTAGGACTGAAGTGTTTCTCAGCGAACCCTCTGGGTTGGGGCCAAAGGTACTTGGAGGATCATGGGACTTAGTAAGTAAGGTTATAAGTACCTTAATTAGGGTTGATAGTTACCCTAATTATAACCCTATAAGTAAGGTTATAAGTACCTTAATTAGGGTTTATAGTTACCCTAATTATAACCCTAGTTACTAAGTCCCATGATCCTTTAAGTAAACGGATTCCGCAGTTCTGGATCTCAGCTTCCTCTGGGATGCTTGTGCCCGTGGAAACTAACGTTCTGCATTTTAGGGTTTCGGGCTGAGCCCAAAGGGTCCAAAGTACCTATATGGTAGAATGTAGGGTTTCCATATTAGGAATTACCATGATGATTTAGGGAAGTATCTGCCATAACAGTACAGAGGACCCTTAGGGTAAGGCTTGGAGCTCACGCCCTTTCCGGTTTCAGGTTTACCGCTGGGGGATCTGTCGGGGCTCAGGTTGAGGAGTTTTGTCGGCTGCCCAGGTTGCTTCGCAAAAGCATGATTATCCCGCCAATCCCAGTTAAAAGAGGTTGCAGACTGGTTGAGCGCACGCGCGTAACAAACGCTCTCAGAACCTAAACCCTAAACCCTCAACCCTAGAAGTTACCTGCAACTACTTCCCAAACCGAAGAGGCCTAGTTCGTCATCGACGCGTAACAGTACCTAAACCCCAAACCCGAAATCCTAAGTACAAGCCAAGGCTTGAAGCCCTAATGAAAAGGTTGGGCTCTTCACGAGCTTCACTGCTTAGCATAGGGGCTTTAATGACTGTAGTCTAGAGTATAGTAACTGTAATGCAGAACCTGCAGGAACAGCGCTAAAAATGCTTAGGCCTCTATATTAGGGCGTTTCTCGTCCTAAGCCTCACTGAGCAGAACCTCTATCTCTAAATTCATAATAACACTTTGTGTGGTTAGGATCCTACAACAAGAAACCAAGAGTACTACATTGTAGCGTCTAGGTACGACACATCCCTAGATAAAACCCGAAAACCCAACCTTACAAAAGATCGCTTTTCCCCTGCCTAAACCAGATCCCTGTACCCCGTACCCTAAACCCTGAAGGGCCCTAAACCCTGAACCGAGGATCCCACCACCCGAAACCCTGCACCCTCGGCCTCAGGGGCAGCAGGCGGTGCGCCGAAGTCTGAAAGACTTGCTGAGCCCTCCTCCTGACGATGGCACTGCGCTTCTCTGTCAACTACGTTTCTGCGGCCCGTGCTCCGTCTCCAGTGTTTAGGTGTGCTGGTTTTGAAGGTGGGGCTTTTAGAGCCTTTGAAAAATATTAGTAGTAAATAAGATCCTCTTAAGCCCAATAAGGGAAAATATAAAATGTCCCAAAGCCCTACCTAGTTTTGATTTGCAGCCTTTTATTCTGGACTTGGCCACCATGAACGTAATTAAATCGACAGTCTGGGCCCTCGTCGCCCCCGAAGACCGCAAGAATCCCCCTTATACTCCTCAACCCCGGGCCCTAAACCACAGTGCCACGTTAAAATAGGGGCCTTGATAGTTAGAATACGGAATTGGGGTATACTATACGATACTATAGTTATACTCAGGAACCCCAACATAGTGTATTTAACTACTAAGGCCCCTATATTAGGGGTACTTTACGGCTTCAAGCCTAAGGCTTTGGGCTAAAGGGTTGCAAGGTTGAAGGGATTGGAGGCTAAAGGGTTTCGAGGCTCACTTTAGGGGCCTGAATAATTAGACTAGGGTTTGGGGGCCATTATACCGTACTACTTCAATAAGGCAGCCCCAAACCAGTATTGGTAATTATCAAGACCCCTATATGACAGGGCTCAAGGCCCCTAGAGTAGATCGCCTTGAGCTCCTCGATGTCGCCGTTCACCTGGATGTAGAACTAAGGGTTTTTAGGGTTTAGGCTTTAGGATCGGTGCTCGCCCAGTGCGCATAGCAAACTTGCAAGGCTGTGGCCGTCAACGTGACGCGCCGACATGCCAGGCGTCGTTGGCAGCGTCTGCGAAAAAGTGACTGTGGCTCCGTGGCATTGGGCTGTCTTATTGCCCTGGGACGAGGCTATAAGCCTTCACTGGGTTATAACTTATAACTGGTCTATGGTTAACGTATGTATATATGTATGCATTTATGTCTGTATGTCTGTATGCATGTATGTGTGCAAGTACGCATGTTCAACCCGAGTTACTAAGTCGCAAAAGCCTTGGGCGTTAGGGCTCTTTAAGAGATAGGACTATAGACGCTCTGAATAAGGACCGCTTTTACAGCGCCTGAAAGTACGGTGAAGAAGGATCCCCTTTACCATAAACCCTAAAGACCAAACCCCTAAACCCTACACTTTTAAGAAGGGTCCCCTTCAAAGGTCTCTCCCAAATACTGCCTAGGAATGGCTCCTTCTTCTCCACAGCGCGCAGAGTTTGGCACACGGCTTTCACCTGCGATGGGAGGTGCGCGCAAGTAAGAGTATCATACCTTCGGGTGTGGGGCCTCGGGTTTGGGCCATAGCATCATAGCTTAGGGTTTGGGGTTTAGGGCTTAGGGTTATGATCAGGCTAGCATCGGTGATCAATGCTGCTGTGTGTATGAATCACCATGGTGAGGGCCGACAGCATAACTACGGCCCCCAAAAAGTCCCATATAAACCAGTGGTCAAATTCTTCGCAGACAGAATTCTATAGGGGCCTTAATAATTAGACTAGGGTTTTGGGGCCCACTATACTATGATTGTAGTAAGGAGCCCCCCAAAGTAGTAGTGGTAATTAGTTAGGCTCCTATATTACAAGTCAATCTCCTTCGCGGTGCAATTCCAAGTACCCTCCAAGCCCGGCAGCACTACTTGGAGGATCATGGGACTTAGTAAGTGAGGTGATAAGTCCCACAAGTGGGGCTATACATATATAAGTACAGTTACATTAATTATAACAGGTACTAAGTCCCATGATCCTGTAAGCAAGCCCGGATCGCAGAGATCAAGCCGTGAAGCTCTCCTAAATGTGCCTTAGGGCTCAGGGTTTTGGTTTGGGACAGCATGCTCAAAACCTTGTAGAAGTAGCTTCAAGGTTACCAGAGCTATCATGCAAAGCTTTGCACCAGGGAATCTCTTTCGTTCCTTGCCGCCTTGCTGGGTTCTTGTTAAGGGATTTTACTTAAGTTACCATAATAAGGAAACAAAATAATGTACTATAGATCCCTATTATGCTAACTTAAATAGAATCCCTTAACAAGAACCCAGCTTGTTCCCAGGCCGAGCCCGAGCAGCATTCCGAAATGCCCGAGGTCGTCGAACCCCTTGGGGTCGTCCGAGCCCGAGTTTGCTCCCCCTAAGCCCCAAACACCCCAGACCCTCTCTCTCTCTCTCTCTCGGACTCTGCAGGGTCGTAACGACGGCACGTCTGAAGGCGCACTACTCAGGACTTGTGTCCACAAAACTGTACTGACTAAACCCCTAAACCGTAAACATCCTTGAACCCCAAACCCCGAAACCATAAACATCCCTAAACCCTAAACTGGAAACATACCATCTAAACCCATAAACTGCAAACATCCCTAAACCCTAAACCCCTAAAACTACACCCAAAACTACCTCCAAACCCGAATCCGAAACCGTCGCACCAGCCCGACGGCCGCATCTGCAGGAAGCGATCCTTGGCAAACCCAGCAGCGGCTAAGACTCTAAGATTTTCCCTAAAGGATCATGGGACTTAGTAACTATAGGGTTCCTTGAAAGGGCTCCTTAAAAGGGATCTGTAAGGTTTCTATAAGGGATCTATAGGGTATACTTAAAGGATCATGGGACTTAGCAACTACGGTTATAATTAGGGTAACCATACTTATAAGCACTTATAAGCCCAATTAAGGTAACCTTAAGTCTCATGATCCTGCAAGTAGGAGGGTTAAGGAGGGTTTTAGGGTTTTGGTGGCTTAGGGTTTTTGGGTAGGGTTTTTGGGGTTTTAAGGTTTGGGGCGTTAGGGTCTACTCAAGAGTTTTCCTAAGGCTTCATGTACTTGATCCTTAAAATTCCTATGTAGGGGACCCCTTTTAACGCCTAAGCTTATAATTAATGTATTAAACTGCATAGGTACATGGAGCCTTAGGGCTTGAGATGCGAGATGAGGATTAAACTCTTGAGGGTTTGAGGGATTCAGGGTCAAAGGGCTAAAGGTTCCGGGTGGTAAGGAGCTAGGGTTCAGGATTTCAGGTGTATGGTTCTGGTCCACACTTGGGCTCTTCTAGAGCAGATTCGCTCGCCTGGATAGTCTTCCAGAGGCACTTTGCCTGTAAGACTCGTTCATACCAACTCGTACCTGTCTGCACCGCGGCCATGTTTCGTCAAGGTATAGACGTACCAACGGCCGGTACGCCGCCAGCACCATTTGTCGTCGCACCTGGCTCGGAAAGGACAGCGACTCCCCGTACTTCAGAAACAGCAGCAAGGCTTCATGGTAATGTCTTTCCCCTGACGGTGGTCTTTTCCGATGTTCCATGCTTCACTCCGAGCTGCGTCAGACGCATCGTTGTCGCCGTTGCTCCTGATGAAGCTCGGTTCTCATGATGCGCAAACGAAGAGATGGTTCTCTTGAAACTGTCTGTCCGAGTTTGGGCTGCCGAACACTTCGACCATCCAGAAACACAGCTGGATTTCAGCATCTGGCGTGCACTTCAGGCATCATACAAACCAGGACAGAAAGGAGAATCTGCCGCCCATAAACAATACTGCAATCGATGAGGGTTCATGCTCTGTGTTGACTTGCCGATCTAGATGGCCAAACACTAGACTCTGAACCGAAGATGCTCTGCTCATACCCAACGACAGTCTCAGATTCCGGCCGACTCAGATCTGGGAGCTCAGGGTTTGGGATTTAGCATTCGGGCTTAGGTCGGAGACTTGGGTCGCGTGTTCAGGGTTTGGAATTGGGTTTTGCTCGGGTTTGTGGCCCGGCGACTTTATGTACGTGTGGAACTCGACAACCCAAAAATGGAGATTCCGGCTGAAAGGTTGGGTTTACCCTCACGCCTGGAAGTACTTCCTACATGGGAACTTTGGGGCCTTGAGGGAAAATCCGTACTATGTCAGTACATTGGAGGTTTGGTTAGCGCCGTGGATGGGTCCTATAACTATATAATGGTTCTACAAGGCTAGGGTTCTATAGGTTCAGGACTTCAATTGGGTCCTATAAAGCTTCTTTAAGGATCTAGGGTTTCTGGAGCAAGGCTTCTGGATGTTTGTGGTCTAGGGTTCGAGGGTTTCGGGTTTTAGGCTGTGTGCTTTGGGCATCCGGTGAATCAGCAAGTGCCATATGAAGTGAGGGTTGTCAGTCACCTATGGCCCCAACTAAAGTGCTTTTAACTAGTTCATGGTTGGGGTAGCATTAAACATGTACATTGTTATTCCTTATTGGGTTTAGGTACCCATAAAAAACTAAAATGTTATCCAACTATGACAAAGTGAAAGCCATGCTTGAAACTGCCCCTGCAGCTGATCCGAAACTTAAGCTCAAGCTTCAATCAAACCTTTCTCAGACCTGCAAACTGCTTTCAAAAACCAAAGAACTGAACCACTGCATGGATATATCTAGTTATAACCCCTATCCTATCTGTGAACAACTGTGCAAGCCCTCCTAGCCCAAATTGACCGCCACAGAGACAGGAAGCATCATCATTTTGCGGGATGTCCCTGCCCCACTGGGCTTCAATGTAAGGGGATGTGCACGGGATATCACTATCCTCATTCTTGCTGATGTGCTCCTTTAGGACCCAACTTAAGAAGGCCGGGGGTTCTTCATGGTGTAATCAGGGAGAAGGCAAAACCCTAAAACCTAAACACTGACCCCTAAACCCTTAACACTGATGGGAGGCCAAAAGGGGGGTCTCAGATTCGTGGGGTAGGGATTCCTTAATATGAACCCTATTGTGGGAACCCTAACCCCTATAAACCCCCATGGGCTGAAACCCCTTTTGGCATCCCATGAAACACTATTAAACCCCAAATGCTAGAAGCCCTAAGCCTTCACCTAACCCCCCCCAAAGTAGGTAAAATAATGTCCTGAAACCTATACAAGGCTGTTATTCTACATACTTTTGGGGTCCAGGCAACACTATTAAACCCCAAATGCTAGAAGCCCTACCTGGACCCTAAGGAACCTACCTTTTTCTGGGTTCCCTAATATGATTTCTTTACATAAGTCCTCAAAAGGTTGGTTTCTTGGGGTTAGGGTAAGCCCTGCGGGTTCTTTAGCGGTTGATCTCCCAGTGGCCCAATCGCTGTGTGGCACTCATCACGGCATCCGGCGAGAAGCCTTAATAGGGTTATGGGTTTTGGGTCTTAGGGCTCTGGGTTTCGGCATTTATGGTTTGAGGGTGTAGGATGTAGGGTTTGGGGTTGAGGATTCTGGGTTTCGGCTTTTAGGGGTTAAGGGTTTAGGGTTTAGGGTTCTGGGTTTCGGCTTCTACGGTTTACCTAGACCCCCAAAAGTAGGTGAAATAATGGCCCAAAACCTATAAAATGCTATTATTCTACATACTTCTGGTGTCCAGGTAAGGGGTTAGGGTTGAACGGTTTAGGTTAAGGAAAGCTTCAGGGTTCCGAAGCTGAGGGTTTAGGGCTTAAGAGGGTTAACTGTGGAAGAGTCTGTTGGGGGGCTATCAAGATTTCAACAGGCATCTATAAGCTTGCTTTATTCATGCTGTGGGATGCCGGAAGTTCTTCTTAAGTTGCCTGTGAACTTGGTTTTAAACAGTGTTTTTTTTGGGGGGGTCTGTATCATCAGCGGGGGGCCTTTAATTTACAGTGGTTTCTACACAGGTGTTCGTTCACCGGCTCTGTGAAATCTTATCAGGTCTTGTAAAGGGATTCTAGGACGGAGTTAAAAGGATCCTTTCTTTGGCGGAACTCGACTCCCTGCTTCATGGGGCCTATGTTTGCTTTTTTGTTTGAGCGGGGGGGGGGGTCGCCGGTTCTCTGAAATTCCCCTGTGGAAGCTCGCGCTTTGATGCGTAGAGCCTGCTTGCGAAGAGTCGTAGTAGCTGCAACAACGGTAAGACATAGCTGCAGATGTTCTATTAACAACCGTTCACAATGCCACGATACGATGTTGGCTATGATGCAGACCCTGACGAGGAAGAAGAGGAGCAGGACGATGAGGAGGAGCAAACGTGAGGACACAGATAACTACGAGAAGGAGTAGAGGGATAAACGGTTCTTGTGATGTTGACGCTTGTTTTGGCTGGCATTGGTGCGGCAATCATCTAGGCTTTAGAGTTCTAAACAGAACCGCATGGACACAATCTAAACCGTCTGGACTGTACTGCACGGCATACGAACCTCGAAAAACTCTACGTTGCCCAGTGGTGAACGCTGTAGGCCGTAGGACTACCCAACTAAACCAACAGAGCCCAAATCAACAAAAAGGGCTTATACGCAACCTGTCGCAGTTCAGCAAAGAACACTTTCAAGACAAAGAAGGACGCACAATCAAGCCCAAAACAAGTGGAAACGCCCCAAGCCCAAGACACAAGCTTCGAACTTAAGGCCAAAAGCCGTAAACCAAACAAACCTCAAAGGCATGCTAACGAATCAGGTAGCGGTGGGTTGCTTCCTCGCCGTCCTCAAGCAGTCTCCGCACCTCTGAGGTAAGAAATTTCGGAGCATGGCCTGTTGACCGGTTTGGTCAAGCGTTTAAGGTTTAGGGCTTAAGGGTTTCGGGCGGTTCTGGGGATTTTACGTTTGTGGGTTTAGTTGGGTTGCGGGTTCAGGATTCGGGGCTTCGGGCGTACTTTGTGTTGTTGAGGTCTGTTTAGGGCTTCGGTCTTTGGCGATGCAGTGTTCAGGCTTTGGTAGATTTGTAAACACGGGGTCAGCGGAGTTGTTGAAGCTCTTGTTTACAACCTTTACTTTGCAAACTTTGCTCAAGAGGCTTTGTGGGATGGGATTACGTACATAGGTTTTTTGGAGACCGGCTTTATGATTAGGTTTGCTGACAAGGATCAGGCCCCTGGTCTTGGAGGTTTCGGATCTCGATCAGGAAGCGTTTGTTAAACACAACTCTTCCTAGAATGTTAGACAAGGGCGTACGAGGTGAAAGCAAAACACTTAAGCCTAAACCCTAAAGCCGTCGAAAATGAACCCTGAAACCCTGAAACATCAGAGGAAGGATCTGTAAGTCTTCTACTTCAACCGCCCATGCACCCCTTTCGAAACTGTCATGAGACCAACAAAAGCCCCTTGTCATAAAAAGCTTCTCTTTACCCAAGTCCAACCCCTGATGAATACCCCCTCCCATATCTAAGATTAGCAATCACTGGTCCAGGAGTCTAGGAAAACCGTACACAAAACCCTCAACAAACCTTGGACACACTTGCAAAGCCGGCCAAAACCTCTTCAAAGCCCTTTCGACGACGAAGTCCTCTAAACACCTTCTAGGACCCTACCAAAACCCAACCTGAGCAAGTTTCACTTGGCCTCTTCCTCCCAACGCTGAGGGATGTCCTGCGGTTTCAGACTCTTCGTTGCTTTTAGTGTTCAGGATTAGGGTTTTTTTGTTTGGGTTACTCTCAGGCCTTGATTCAGGTTCGGGGCTTCGGGATGCACAGGGTCCGGGAGCTCCAGTGCTTCGTTTCGGCATTCGGTTCAGTTTAGGGTTTAGGGTTTAGGGTTTAGGGTTTAGGGCTTAGGGTTTAGGGTTTAGGGGTTTAGGGTTAGACGTTGACTCTCCAGTCACTTTTTTTACCCGCTATGCTCACGTAGCCGCACGAGCATCCGGAGCGTCAAAGCATGCTGGAATTCAATGCGACGGAAGGAAAGACCAATCAGGAATGATTGAGGAAGTAGAACTCTTTCGAGAGGAGTTAGTTAACTGTCCAGTCACTATCTGCTCAGTGAAGAGTTCGAGCCATGAAACTAAACTCCAGACTCCTGTTCCATTGCATCGTGGGCCCTAAGCCCTACCTGTAGCCCAAAGGACCTACCTTTTTAGGGAGCTAAACCATATAGTGAGGAAGCCCAAACAGGTAGGTCTTTTCGGCTACACAAAACCTTCAACCGACTGATTCACGGATCTTCGCCGGTCTCCAGCTCCTGCGGGTACAGCCCTGGCCCCTCAAACCTAAAAAACAACCTTGCGTTGCATGGCCGTAAACCCACCAATCAAACACTGAACTCGAAACTCCACAGCATCGAAACTTTAAACCCTAAACCCACAGGACACCATAAAGCCCTAAACTCCCAACCCGCAAGCCTTAAACCTGGAAATCCTTCACTCCAACCAGCAGAGCAGGTGGCAGTGACTTTCCTGGCCCCCTTTCCCGTTAAGGGTTTAGGTTCAAGGTTTAGGCGAAGCATAGAACCCAAGCCCAACGAGCACATAAGGATCGGGGGACTTGGTATTTCGGTCAAGAGTCGACCGGCACATGGAGTAAGCCCAATGAGAGCACTGCACCCTGTCCATGTCCCGTTTTCTCTAGTAGGCACAGAAGAAACATCAAATGACCGAAACCGCAAACCTTAAACTCCAACAGCCCCAAGCCGGTAAACCCTAAACCCTAAACCCTACACCCTACACCCTAAACCCTAAACCGTCCGCACACAAACCCAAACGCCCTCATGCTTCACTCGTCTAGAACCCTTCGTAAACCAGGCTTCAAACCCAGAAACCTCGCTGGCAGTGCTCCAAAACCCTGTACAAACTTATATGGCCCCTATACTAGAATTACAGAAGCATGCTAGAACCCTATAACATCCCTTATTGAATCCCTAGTAGAGCCTTCATTTATGAACCCGAATCTGCCTTGGAGAACCCTTGTAGAACCCGTATTGTAGAGCCCTTACAGAACCCCATCCCTCCTTCTTCGGCATCTTAAAGGGCACACGGACGTTGGCAGCAGTCAGCGCGCACAGGACCTGCCAAAGCCCAAGTTTAAAAGTGGATACAGGCTAAGTACAGGCTTTATTCGAACCCTAACCCTAACCCTAACCCTAACCCTAAACCCTAAACCCTAAACCCTAAACCCTAAACCCTAAACCCTAAACCCTTAAGCCCAAACCCTAAACTTGAAGGGTTTTCTTTTTTGGGAACATGGGCCTCTGAGGGCTTCTAGGGTAAAGATACCGAGTTCAGCAATGTGGATGCTTCAGGGTTCAGGGTTACTTTTTGGCTTTCTGAACCCGGCTGATCTGGAGTAAAAGACCCCAAAGACACTCACACCACCAGCTCTATCTCCGAAGATCTATAAAATAGTCGCGAACTTCGAAGCTTGTACAAACCCTAGCTCCAAAAAGTAACCATATAGTGCTTACCGACATGCGGAATTCCGCATTCAGGCCCTTATCATCAGGATCCCACTATTTCAGGTTCTATGTTGCGTTACTTGTCTTTCGCAGCTGCCATATCTCCCAACCCCAAACCCTGAACCGTAACCCCTCAACCCTCTATCTGAACCCTGGGCCCTATAAACCCTCTTTAGGGTTTGGGGTTTAGGGTTTTGTGAATTGTCCTGTGCTCTTGATCATGAATTACAGCATGGGACTTGGTAACTAGCATAACTAAGGCAGATAGACTTTTAATCGTATCGGCGCAAGTATATCATGACCTACTAAGTCCCATGCCATGAAAATTCGCCTCGGCCCCGGCCGAAGCGGTCAGAGGTTCCTATTCGGATTCTCCTATTCCCCACCTCTTAATCCCCTCCCCAGTGACCCCACCCCCAAAATCCGCGCCGCCCCCCCCCCCCCCCCTAAAAAATGGAAACGTGTCCACCGCTAATATTTTCGCCTTTTCCCGTGGATTTTGGCTTTCTGTAGGCAGTCCCACCCAATTTTCTTCGCTTCCCCTCCCCGTTCACCCCCCCCCCCTCCCCCTTCCGCCCCCCCCTCCCGCCCCCCCCACTCCCCCTTCCCTCCCGCCCCTCCTCCGCTCGCTGACAGGTGCGAGCTTTCTGGAGTTTTTGACGACACGGGACTGCAATGTAGCATCTTTATGTGCGTCTCAGGCTTGTTTTAGACGCCCTTTCGTTGGGATAGGCGGAGTAACGTGGTTGAAAAGGCTGTGATGCTTCCCTAATCCAAGACGCCCACGAAATCCCCAGCCTCAACGGCCCATACTTAAGGCATCCCGCCGCTTGCGAGAGTCTTGGTAACCAGTGTTTCGGAATGACGACACAAAAATTCGTACTGATACTACCACTACTAATACTACTCACAATCATCCTGCTTCGTGTTGCTATGAACATTACTTTTACTATAAGTGCGATTCCAAGTGCTACTTTTTTCCTACAAGAGCTTGCTGCAGATAGTAGCCACTCGCCGCATGCGCGTACAGCCGGGCCGAGGCGGACGACGCGCAGTGTTTCAAATTAACCTTCTACTTATCCTCTTCGGAAGTTGTAGCCTGTAAACGTACACATGACTACGTAGATCACCAGGCTTCTCTCTCACTCAGATCCGGTCCCGCAGAACCCCAATGGCAGCTAGGGAAAAAGATACCAAAAGCAAGTCCTCTGCATAAATGCCTGCAGAACTCCACAATGCCCCAAAACTAGAGCCCTAAAACTGAAGATTTGAACCTTGAACCCGACACCACTAGTTCGGGGTTTGTGGTCTTCCGCAAGAGCCATCTTCAACCAATCAACATCCCGTTAGCATCCCGAATCTGAGAAAGACAATGACATCCCTACAAAACCTTGTTTAACCCTGTGATACACCTACAAAACATGATCAAGCCCCATCTTTTCAATCGATTTTAGCCGGAAATCCTGATCCCCTGATGTTGAAACAGCTGTGAAGCCCTTAGCCCCGCCGCAAAACAACAAGATCAACCCCTCGGCACCCTCTTTAACCACCTAACCCTAGGCCCTAAACCCTACATCCATAGCTCTTGAAGGCCTCCACCACCTAACCCTAGACCCTAAACCCTAAATTTGAAACCGTAGCTCTTGAAGGCCTCCAGGGAGTTCTTGGGCAACATCCCTTGCTCAAAGATCTCCAACCAGAGCATGGAGAACTCATCCAGGGCCTGTGCGGCGTGGGGTTTGTTTTTTTGATATTTTAAGTTTGGAATTGGGGTTTAGGGTTTAATAGGGTTTAGGGTTTAGGCTTTGGAGTTTAGGCTCTATAGGGTCTGTCTCTGCAAGCAAGCAGCATTTGGCTCATGGCTGCGAGGGTTTACGGTGGCTATAGTGCCTTTGGTAAGGTCTTTAAGGCCTTTAGGGTGGATTTCGTGCAGGCTCTCATTATGTACCATGGGTTTCATTGATATGCTTTAGGATAGGTTAGAGTATACCCTTAACAGGTCTGCTTTATAAATGCAAAGGGTCTAATAGGTTATTAGGCTACCTTCTTAAGGTGTATTATGGTTCGGCAAAGCATCCCGGAAAAAAAAAAAAAAAACGAAAACTGACGCTCCAGAGTAGAATGCTTGCACAAGGTTTGGGGTTTAGGGCTATCTAAACCAGAGCACGAAACTCAGTCCATACTGTGAACACCGAAATGTCATGAAGCATCCGGGACCGCCCGCCAAATCCGAAAGTTTAAAACTGACATGGTGAGTTGCAAGTGGTGTACTGTTTGGGGTACAAGGCATACCTCTACATACCCCGAGGCCAAATATAGCTTCGATGAGGAGCAATCCGTCAAGCCTCTGTAGTTTAAGGAACATTTACCAAAAAGCTGTTCATTATTGGGCTCTTTCGGAAAACTCTCAGAGCTGCCTACTAAGGTAGAATCCTCAATTGCGGGATTCTTGTGCCGGGCGTCTGTTGCCACCTAGAAACCCCAAAACCCTGAATCTTGGAATGCAGGTCATACTGTTGATGATATAGATCCTGCATTACGTTAAGGACCCTATACTCTGGGAAATATGGTATATTCCATATTATGGGTAATGCAGGATTTCTGCCATCAACCGTATGAATAGGTCCATCTGTAACTTAAGGAAGGTTCCTTCATCAATTTGGTCTCTCTGGGAAATGTCATCTGAACACCCAAACCCCAAAGCCTAAATTGCCTAACTCCCTGAGCCCAGAACCTAATTTCAACCGCAAAAGAACCCTCAACAGAACATTGAAAATTACTGAACCCGTATAAAACGGAACACTCGCTTCAGAGTAGCCCCATCCACTCAAACCCTAAACCCCAAACCTTGAAAGGACCCTCACTTGGAGGATCATGGGAATTAGTAAGTAAGGTTATAAGTACCTTACTTGGGGTTATAAGTAGTTATAAGTATAGTTACAGTAATTATAACACTATAGTTACTAAGTCCCATGATCCTTTAAGCATGCCCTCCTGCCGCACGATGCGCCGCTGGAAAAACCCACCGAAGCGAAGAAGACGCGCTCTTGCTCGCTTCCAAAAAGAAACCTCCGGGTAGGGTTTAGGGTTTAGGGTTTAGGGGGGTTCCCGAAAGGGGTTGGTTTCGTGGGTACTATAAGGGTATGTTTAAGAGTCCATGGAAAGCTGAAGATGCACAAGGGACTTCAAGGGTTCAGCGTTGTATAAGGAGGTTAAGATTTGAAATGGTCCTGCTGAGAAAGCCCGTAGTATAATGAGAACTTTCTAACGGGTTTGAGGAGCGCTGGGGGTTCTCTGACTTGATGGTTCGAGGGTTTGTGGTTTAGCGGCTTAAGAGTTCAGGGTTTTGGGTTTAGGGTTCAGAGTTTAGTTGTATAAGTAGGATTGTAGGTGCCTTCACTACTTGGGGCTAGCAGTAGCTACAGGGTTAGCTACCCTCTGGCAGCCCTACTTCCTGCAGCCTTATGAGGCCGGAACAGGACTTGAGGATGTTTGTAGAACTCCCATTAACGCGCTGTCAGTATCTCGGAGCAGGGAGTTTAATCATGGTCCAATTTCTGGCTTCTGCTGCAGTCGGCTCCCTGATCCTAATAGCAATTGAGCCACTGCTCCCGCCCGCCTCTAGGATATAGGACCTGTTTGGGAGTTTCCGAAATTTCCGAAAATTAGGGGTACCTTATTTTGGGGTCCATATAATAAGGATCCTATTATTTCGGGCATAATATTAGGGTCCCCTATTTTCGGAAACTCCCTTTTGGGGTTCATGGATTCAGGGTTTGGGGATCTCTGGGTTTCGAGTTCAGGGAGGGCTTGGGGCTCATGGGTCTACTTGGAGGGATCATGGGACTTAGTAAGTAGGGTTATAATTAGGGTAATTATACTTATAACTACTTATAAGCCCAATTAAGGTACTTACAACCTTGCTTACTAAGTCCCGTGATCCTCCAAGTAGGGTTTATCTGGCTATGGGTTCATGGCTTCTGGGTTCAGGTCTTTGGAATTAGGATTGATGGGTTTCGCGTTTATGATGGGTTTGGGGTTGAGCAGTTTCGGGCGTAAGGTTTTGGGTTTACGGTTTATGGGTTGAAGGTTCAGGGGCTGCGTGTGTGTCGCGGCTTTCGCGGACGCCGGGTGCCCTCAACAGCAAGGACGTCACTGCTGATGATGATGCTGCTGCGGCTGTCAGAGTTAGTGCATCCGCAGGGACAGCCCTCGCACCACCTCCCTACGAATTCTGCTTCGAAAGCCACGTCGGCAAGTATGCTCACACCACTCCAGAAGGACGGGTCAGCGATCGTCTTGTCAATTGTCTCGAGCGTCGGGCCGGCATGCCCATGCTCGTTGTTTGCGGCATTCTCCCGCCAGCGCTTGAGCCGCTCAGTGCCACCCACGAACTTTTGTCCGCACCAGGTTCGGCGCACAAGCGGTTCGGCGGCAAGAAGAGCACTGCAAAAGGAGACCAACGCCTCCCACCTGAATGAGGTGAGTCAGTAAGACCATGCTCCCAGTTGGTCACCATCCCCAGCATCCTCACCCAAAACCTCGTCAAGCATAACCTAAACCTAAAGCCCGATTCGCTACGAAACCCCAAACTCCTAAGCTTAGACCCTAAACCCCAAGCCCGAAACCCTCTAATCCTAGGCCCTCGAATTAAACTTTCAACCCAAAGCAACCTAGAAGTATGTACGGCCCGGATGCCCTGGACATCCTGAACCCAAACTGTGCCCCCAAGAACCGGTGCAAAATCCGAATCCCTCCCTCCTAATGAAACCCTGAACTTCCTGAACCCAGAAACAAGAACAGCGAAATCCAAAATCTGAGGTTTAGGGTTTACTTGAAGGATCATGGGACTTAAAAACTAGGGTTACAATTCTAAAGTCCCATCCCTAAACCCTTGAGGGCTTGGGGACCAAACAGCGCCTTGCCCGACTTGCGTTTGCGGCCCTGCGAGGACAACAGTTCAACGGCTTCCGCTTTGAGCCGCCACCTCGGTGTATTGTAGTGTAGGTTTTAGAGTTTTTTTTTTTTTTTTGAGTGCTCTTTTCCGACTGCCGAACAGCTAGAATTCCTTACCAGGATGAGCCAGGTTGTTGGGGTCTTCGTCTGAAGCGAACTGTAGGTTTTACAGGGTTTAGGGTTTAGGCTTTAGGATTTTGGATAAAGGACTCCCAATTCGAATAGCAAGTTAGATACCTCTAGCAGCCTATCAGGCCCTAGGGGATAATCAATCAGTGCCGCAAAGGGCCACAGAGGTCATTGTTGCTTTGCCAAGCAGAGGCATCGGGGTTGGGGTTTGAAGTCTGTAGGTGGATTTATGGCGCGGGGTTTAAACGTGCATAGTTTTGCTGTGTGGCGCTAATGGCAAACCCTATACCCTAAACCCTAAAGCCCTAAACCCTAAACCCTAAGCCGAATAAGTTGACGGGCGCTCCTAGCAGACCATGCGCAATTTATCATGACCGGGAATGCTACGGCTCAAGCTACCTCACACGATCAGGAACAATGTAGTTCTGGAGCGACTATGAGCGATACCCTACAGCCTTTGATGAACCCTGAAATCCGCAAAGCCGAAATTCTAAAATACAAATCTCGTACCCAATACGAGAAATCACGCTTTCAATGGAACAGTGCATTAATAGGCACCTCAAGAATTCGCACACAGGACTGACCAGCGGCTTCATTCGTGGAAACCAAACCCACAGTGTAAAAACTCAAGACTAAAAGATGTCACATCCGTGCATGGAAGAGCAGCAATTCATCCTGAAGCTCATGCGACGATAAAGTGTCGACTCAGTGGGAAACTGTTACCGGCTCTAAGATAGGGGCACATTCGTAGCTGGAACAAGGTTGTTGGGCATATCAAGCTGCAACCATAAGCAAGCAAAGCCAATACCAGTCTGAAACCATAAACCCTATAAACACTAAGCAGCTACTAACACCGAAAGAAGCCTTAACAAATCACTGTTGGTGACTCTCCAGGCGTGAATTTTTTGCTGTGAGCCTTGATTGCACTGAAAGCGAAAACCGGACACGTCTCAGAATAGGCTTAAAGGTTTAGGGTTTAGAAGGGTTTCCTAGATGATACACCCCACATTCTATTCGCGTTTCAAGTCTTACGGATGTTTGTTTCGGGGTTCGGTTTTCCAGGAGCAGGAATAGAGCTACAGGGTTTCAGGGCTTCAGGGACTTAGTACGTCTCGCTAGCACACACCCTGCCAGCCTTGGCCCAGTCTTGTCCAAAGTCTAGCAACTTAAGCAATGTGGGAGTTTCCGAAGATTAGGGGTACCTTCTTTTGGGGTCCCTATAAGAAGGATCCTACTAGTTAGGGTATGAAAATAGGGTCCCCTAATCTCGGAAACTCCCATTTGGGGTTGAGGGTCTAAGGAGTTGGATCCTATCCGCAGGCTCACTTTTCAGCCTCTGTAGAGGACGGCGGTCTTCCTCCGAAGCCCTAAACCCTGAACCCCTGTCGAGCGGCTCTAGAAGATAGCGTTCTTCCTCGGTCTCTTGGAAGAGGGGCAGCATGTAGCGCACCATGAACTGCTTGACCCGGTCTGCGCAGGCTTCTCAGAGACTCCGAAACCCCGAAAAATCCACTAGATCTGAAAATCATATGTATACAGTTATAGATATGCATATAGATATACGTAAAGATATTGTATATAGATATAGCGACAGCGACAGAGACAGAGATAGACGAGATAGAAACAGAGATTGAAAATGATATGGATATCGATAGAGATATAGATGTATGCCTGAACGTACGTATGTCTGCATATATATGCATATACCGACAGCATATACCAATCGGAGTTCAATGATACCACCACGACTGAATTAGGCCCCAAAAAGACCATTCTGACATGGTCTTGGGCGACCTAACACCACCATCGTAGTATATTATGGTATGTTATGGTTAACCATATATTGTGGACCCCTTGGCAAGGCTTCCCTTGTAGCTCTGGGTATGTGGCTTGAGTATAAAGGGTCTTGAGAAAGGATACCCACCAATAATGTTTGGTAATTCATGGCCTTGTGCGGTCCCTTCGAACCGTCCGCATGTTGCTCACACTCGGAGACGCCACGACGATCTTACAACGGCGTTCCTTCAAACACTGCTCGTACTCCGCGCTCGTGCCGAACTGGGCGAACTTAAAGGATCATGGGACTTAGTAACTAGGGTTATATTTAGGGCAACTATACTTATAACTACTTATGACCCCAATTAAGGTACGTATAACCTAACTTACTAAGTCCCATGATCCTCCAAGAAAAGGAGCAGCTTTCCTTCCCAAAGCGCCAGCAATCGAGTTTCGCCCGCAGGCGCCGCAGCGACCGGCCGTCCGACGTAGCCACCGGCTTCTTGAATCTGATCACTCCTCTCCGAGCTTCGAAGGACTGATGGGCTCATCATCATCACCATCGTCATCATCATCACCATCAACATCATCATCGTCGTCATCATCTTCAACGTCATATATATATACACACATGTATGCATATTCAAAGTATTTGTTTGTCGTTTTAAGAAATTGTCAATATAGGGCTCATCCTATGTACCCTCCGGAAGGCCATGCCCTGCCAAAGAACATTACAAAGCCCAGCCTCTTGAGCTTGGGCTCCCGGGCACTACAGCCTCTTCCAAGACTTTACGTGCAACCCTCGAAATCCCTAAACACTAAACCCCAAACCCTAAACCCCAAACATTACACCCCAAACCCCGAACCCCGAAGTCCGAAATACCAACAAAAGAGACCCCAAATCCAAAATGCACCCCAAAAACCATACCCTAAACTCTTCGTCCTTTGAAGGAGCCCCCAAAATAGTACCATAGGCATTTGCCCCGAATATAGAACTCCTTAAACCCTAAACCTCTAAACCCTAAACCCCCTAAACCCTTAAGCCCCTCAACCCTAAACCCTAACATAGATCCCTTTAAGGAACCCCCCCGATCCTGAGCAGCTCTCGGCTTTCTGCGAGACTGCCGCCATGGTTCGCCGCACTTTGCCTGCTTCAACGATATGCTGTCGGGTTTAGGGTATAAGGTTTAGGGGTTTAGGGGTTTAGGGGTTTAGGGGTTTAGGGGTTTAGGGGTTTAGGGGTTTAGGGTTTAGGGGTTGGGGGTTTAGGGTTTAGGGGCTTAGGGGTTTAGGGTTTTAGGGTTTAGGGTTTAGAGTTTAGGCGGTTTGTTTGGCTACATGGGTACATGCGTGCTCAGGTAAGGGTTCCGTAAGGGTATTGTGGTAGCCAGAATGCCTCTGAACCAAGCAATAATTAGTCCTTAAATTTCTGAATCGGGTCTCATTAGCAGCTCGACTGGAGGACATCCAACCCTTGACCCAAATGACGCCGAGCGGTACCTGGACTCGTCGGAAATCAGTATGTGAAAAATGTACGCGTGTTTACTTCATACTGGGGCCTTCGTCAGGAAAGAACCCTAAACTCTAAACCCTAAACCAAGCCGATCGGCCGGCGCCACCACTGGAAAGGGGAGCAGGGCTCTTCGTAAGCTTTCCTCTGGCCTTCCCCTTTGCCGCAACTGAAGATTGTTTGAGGAACTTAGTCTAAAGCCTTGAACCAAGACCTTGAGCTCTAAAGCTCTAAGCTCCAAAGTACGAAGCCCTAAAAACCCTAAAGCTTAAGGTACCGTAATAGGGAGGGCTTAGCGTTTAGGGGGGAGGATCTATGGTCTATGGGGCAGACTAGGGTTTCCTTATTTCGGTAACTTCACTTAAACTCCTCAACAACAGCACGGCACTCTCAGGGATGTGACTTACATGCTGGCTCCAGAAGCAACAGAAGATTCGTGTGTTCCAGTGCTTAGATCTGGATAGAGAAGGAGAGTTCGGCCGACCGGAGTCTAAAGCTAAGGGTAACATCAAGCCTGTCTGTGGTTTTGGAGCTTAGTTTATGGCTTAGCCCCATAACCATCCAAGCGCCTACAACCGAAGCCCGAATTGAGGAACCCCTCGATGCCTACTACATACCACAGCTCCATAACCCCTACCTGCCTCCTCATCCGATCCCTCTAATTTTCACCATTCGCCAAGGGACCCTTCTTTACTCAAAAGACCATGGGACATAGTAATTAGGGCGGGAAGTAAGGGAACATTTGACCCCAGTTAAAGTACTTCTAAGCTTACTTGCTAATTCTCATGAACCTGCAAGATACCAAGCTTAGATTTAGGCCTACAAACGGGTATTCCAAGAAGAGTCAGACCCCAAACCCAAACCACTTGGCCCTATAATCGTAAACTCAGAAATCGAAATCCTAGAGCTTGGATGCTAAATCCTAAACGTGCAGGTTTGAGGGTCTAGGGCTCACAGAACCCATACAGAGCCCTAAGCAAAGAGCATGAGAGTGACGAGGTCTTGCCTGCTGCTTTCACCACACCCTTTTCATTGAAGGACTTGGAGGAAATGCGCCTGGTCAATTAGCGTTCTTTTCCTTGCAATTCCTCTTTGGTTCGTTTACATAGGAGGATGGAGCTGTTACAGGAGTCATGCAGCGTTCTGTTTGACCGTAGAGGGTGTTAGAGCATGTAGCAGCATGTATGTACGGTGAGGTCAAGGTTCCAGGGCGGTGAGGGTTTAGGGAAGGCTAGCGGCTAGTTCAGAGTTTCAGTTTTGGAGTTTGGGATTTCTGGCTGAAGATTCAAACTTGGTGGAGAAACAGTTGAGGATTTGTGGACTTCAATGACTGCTACAAGAGTCAGAATTTCGGTGGCTTGTAACTGCACATCAGGATCAGGGAATATGACATGAGGTTGTGCTGGAGCCCTTTGGGGGGGGGGGGGGTGCAATAGTATTCGGGTAAAATTCGGTAGCTCTTCAATACACCTGCGCCCACAGGATCTGCATCAATTCTGCAGGTCCCCCTGCTACGCCTACTCCTCACGAGGTAGCTGATTCCTTACCCCCCCTCCCCCCTTCCAACCCTGAACCCTGACATACAACCACCTTGCGCTCGGGATGCCTACTTAAAGAGTCATGGGACTTAGTAACTAGGGTTATACTTCGGGTAACTATACTTATAACTACCTGGGTCTCCCAAGATGCTGCCAGGGCACTGGTTCAGCCGCTCGTTGAATTGAACTTCTTGTGCATTGGTCTGCACATGTGGTTTTGGCTTAGAGCCTAGAGTGCAGGGTTTAGGAATATGAGGGTTTAGGGCGTAGGGGCAGTATGTTTAGAGCCTGGGGTCTCCTTTTCGCGGAGAGTCGTTGGGCGAAGGCTGCTACGATTGCTGTGGGGAGCGCAAGGACTCCACCCTCTCTCAACCAAGCCAACGACATAAATGGGGCTATAAGCAAGTTGACTGTACTTATAACCCATATGCGGGGACTTATAACTCTACTTATAACTACCTATGAACCTCCAAGTAGACTCTTCATTCTTTCACATCCGTTGCAGATGTGTACTTGCAGATAAAAGCTTCAAGTAGGCGACACATCAAGACTTGGAAGGTGACTGTTCCCTATGTGCGGACCTGAAAGGGATCACGAAGGGAATGCTTGTCAGGATATACTTGGGGGGACAGACTTGCTTTTAGTCGCATCCCCTGAACGTCTCTAGACATGTATACACTTGTGCAGTCACGCAAACCCCATTCCATGTACCTAAGGTCCCTTACTTTGACCGCGCGAAACCCTAAGTCGCTTATAGAACCCTTAAAGGGGCCCTTGCTCAAGCAACCCTACTCTTGTTGTTCACGCCCTATATTACGAGACCGAAGCATGGAAAGCAGAAGTGGCTTTTGGACCCTTTCGGAAGCCTTACCAACAGCATCCTCTCCTCTGAATCGAGCACACAAGGTCGGTTTGAGGGCCTCACAGAAGGTTATAGAATACATGCTCTCCAGGGCTGAGCCGCTTGTTAGCTCGAATGGAGTCTGGGGGAAATTCTTTGATACGACGATGTTAGGGACTGTTACTGCTGGCCTCTTCTTCTTCCTCAATCTCTCGCGAGACATTCCGGAGGAACTGAGCGATGACGTGCATACCTTGCGGGACGGCTCTTGTTTCAACTGCCTTAGCTTGCAGAAAAAAGTGCAACAAATGGCTCTACACCTGGAAATATCTCTGGGTTCCCCCAGTCGCCTATTGACAATAAGGGCAACGCTAATGCATCCTACCCGGCTTTAAAAACAAAAACGGTAGGTACTGTTTAGCCGTACTTACATGATCCTCCAAGTCAATAACTCGTCGTACCCCCCCCGCACTGTGAACCCTAGACTTCCCCTGGGCTACTGCCAATACCGCATGCAGGCCAACAGGACACGGTTCTCTGAACAGAACTGAGAGGCATGGTGCGACATGAGGCTTGTCTCACCAGAAACTGGTATGCCCCAAAAGAACGCAAATAAATATGTGTTGTATGCAGTGGCCCTATGTACGTATGTGTGTGTGTACATATAACTATCTCTATATATGTATATGTGTACATTCACCCATATCCCTGGCGACACTGCGATACACTCAATCCAATGACGGATCCCTGGTAATGTCTGCAGCTCGTGTTTTAATCTGTTATAACGAACCTAAGACCTCAAGATAAACATGCTCATGGTACTGCTTTGGGTCCAGGGTGGGCACTTGAAGCAACCAAGCTTCTACTGGAAACGTTGGGCTTGTTGCTCTGCGCCAGCCCTTTGGACCCAAAACATGCCGTTCTTGATTATATCACTGGGCTTTCAATATCATCTCAAAGAAGCTGATCCCAAACCTACGTCCTAGGGCTTAAGGTTTCGAGGCAAGCAGGAGGATATCGGGTATAGAGTAGACCCAGGGCAAGGTGTCTTGTTGTGAGAATCCTTCATGTGTAGTCCTTATTTCAGCAGGGGGGCCTTCTTCGCTGATCTGTTGGGGCTGGCTTCATCAACTCTAGACAATGAAGCTGTCTGCAGCTTCGGTTGGGCCCAGAACACAGGATGTCAGTGTTTAGGGTTCAGAATTGGTTTCCATGAACGTAAGGAACCTTTTGTTAGAGCTGTTTTGGAAGTATTCCGCAAGCGAATTCGGAGCGACTGCGTTGCAGGTGTGGTGCCCAGGTAGACGCAGACGCACGTGAGCACAACGGCCAACCATCCTGTGGGACGCCCAAGAACCATGCAGCTTACAGAGCCTAATATAGAGGCCACAATGATTAGAATAGGGTTTTGGTGCCATAATATAACTATAACAAGGAAACCCCAAAATAGTTTAGGTAATTATTTAGGCCCCTACGTTATTTGTCAGAGGTAAGGGACCAGGGTGTCGACCTGCTGTGCAAGCTTGAACTTGGCTGAATGGATGCGAGCGATATTTTACCCCTAAACCCTAAACCCGTAAACCCTAAAACCCTTACCTGTTGACGTACGTAGAAGCTTGAAAGTTGGAACATCATTATCTTCGTGCCCTTAATGTAAAGTATAGGCAAAGCAAGAATCATCCCAAATCTATGTTCCAACTTTCTCGGGTTCACTAGACTACAGTGCGGAGAAGTTCGAAGCCCTCAAGCCAAGAAGAGACCTGATTCTCTCCTCTACTCTTCCAAGAACTCAACCCTGCTATTGTATCTGGCCGATCGAGATGGTTGAACAAGAAGTTGCTAGGATACCCAGTAACCTAAGAATAAAAAGGCCTCTCTTTTTGGTATTGGGTAACTTTATAAGGAACCTAGGACGGCAAAAAGGGAACAAGGGTACTACTGGAGATCCTAGGTTGTCTACCAACCTCATTAGAGCCCCCGACAAGGCTCCACTTGTGGTGTTTGGCGACATGGCTTTCGGGTCGGTTTTGCATACAGACGCCAGCACTGCCCCCAGTTGGGATGTCAATTCGCCAGCAAGCACGGTTATAAGTACCTTAATTGGGGTTATAAGTAGTTATAAGTATAGTTACCCTAATTATAACCCTACTTACTAAGTCCCATGATCCTTTAAGTACCCCCTTGCTGGAGACCTTCCTCAAGGCTCGCGGAGCTGTTCCTCCGCTGCCATGAGCATGTGATGTGACCTGTTAGTCCGTAATAGTCCGTACACCAAGGGTTGCGGGTTCCCTGCCATCAGAGAGGCAATGATTGCTGAGTCCAGCAATCTTCGGCTGCTGCCCAGGTAAGCTGGAGAGTTGAAGGAACTCTTCGAGGGAGAGCCTCTCCGGCATCTTCAACTCCTCCTCCTCTATCGTGATGTTCGCTAGTTCCTTGAAAAACGAGTCCATGGTCGGAGCTTCCATGGAGCGGGAACTTGCCTCTGCCATAGCAAAACTCTATTTGTATAAAGACCAAGAATATGCAGGATAACACAACCGTGAAATTGTCAAAAAAGCACCTTTAAGTGTGGAAAATTCCTGAGCCTCGGGTTTAAGGACACGGGCCTAGTGCAAGGCTTCTGGTGTCAGGGTTTAAGAGTGTGCCGAGTTTGCTTTAAGGCTTACCGTTTCGGCGCCGTTTGGGGTCAGGCTGTGCAATCGGGTTACTGCCCTTGCATTATGCATTCTGGTCCAGTGATGGGCCCCTCACCTGCAGAGTCACTCTTTGTATGAGGAACTTGAACATCAAAAACGATCTCAGTTCACAGAACATCCCGGTTGGAGTTAACATAGGCCAGATCTCCGTTCCAACTATGAAGACCCTTTACATTGTAAAACTTGGGCACGGCCCACACTCAGTAATAGTTGTATAATATTCATAATATCGATATAGAAGGACCTTAATAGTAGCCCTTATAGACTCTTACTGTGTGGGGGCCGTACCTAATGTAAACCCTTGTAGAGCCATTGAAGGGAGCCTCTTGAAGCTTTAAGGTCCCCCTTTGAGGGCTCTTTTTGTTGGAGCTTAGGGTGCTTTTCAGGGTTTAGGATGATTTTTTCAGGGTTCAGGTTTAGGATGTTTCAGAATTCAGGCCCTAAGCCCTACACCATTCAGGGCTGAGAGTACCCAGATCTTCGAACTGCCGCGACGAAGGATTCTGCACATTCGCGCCTGCGAGAACGAATGTCACCGTGACAGATGGGTTGGAGATGAGAACCACCTGAGCTGTGGGCAGGGTGTAGGGCTTAGCTTTGTGGGCTTCGAGGTTTGCAGGGCTTAGTTTTGTGATTTGGACATTTGTGGACTTTGGTGTGCAGGGTTAGGCTTGTGGGCTTTGCGGTCAAAAAGTGTCTAGAATATTGGAGCACGACCTCTTGTCAAGTCGTTGCTCACGGGACTTCGCCAGGAGGATAATGCTGAGAGCACTCTGCAGAAACAACTACTTTGTAGTGGGCTTTCAACCCCAGCCAAGACATCCAGAAATCTACTTGGAGCTGTTTTGCGGAGGCTTGCCAGAAGCACTCCTTACATGCGCTGACATCTGGTGTGATGATATAAACACATCGCGTCCCCAACGTCAACATCCACACCAAACCGTACGTCTTACCAACCGAACAGTCTTGTAGTCGTCGTCGCCGTCGCAGCTAGTCGTCTTCCTCCTCTTCCTCTCCTCCTCCTCCTGCTCCGCCTCCTGCTCCTCCCTCTCCTCTTGTTCCTCCCCCCAAGCCTAAAAAGCTCATCATGAAACCCTTGTAAGAACCCGAAAGGACCCTTTTCTAGTTGCTGCGGCCCCTAAGCCCCTGTTCCAAGCCCCATATGAGAACTCCGGAGAAAAACACGCATGTTCAAATTATTCAGGCCTCTTTAAATCCCTAGCTGAGCGACGGCGACTGTGCCGAAAAAGATGAAACGGAAGATGGAGAGACCGAACTCGAAAGAGTCCAGGATCTCCTTGGGGGGTCAGATGTAGGGTGTGGGATCGAGGGTTTTAGGGCATTTCTGAGCTTAGGGGTTTAGGGTTCCATAGAAACTTGGGGCTTGAGGGCTTAGGCTTTAGGGTTTCAGGGTTTAGGGTTTAGGGTTTTCTGGGTTTCAGGGTTCAGGGTTTCGGGTTTAGGGTCTGGTGTTTGTTTGAACACCTTTATCCGCCGCGGCGAGGGTTGCGGGTTCAGCAAATTAACCGTAGTTTAGGTGTAGGGTTTTAGGTTCAGGGTGGCGGATCTCCTCCTCAAGATCTTTATAATAGTCGGATCCTTTTTACAAACACCCCAAACAGATTCGATGGTATAGTTAGGGTTAAGCTTAACAGTAACAGGGTCACCGGGTTTGATGGCTTTGTCAGGTCTTTTCCATGCTTGGACGGCGAGTTTTCTGCGATTCGATTCGGGCCAAATTGAAGAAGGCTTCTTATGATGCTTCTTGTTCATGGTTTCATGAGGGTTTGAGTTATTCGATAATATGGACTTCATCAGGCATAATGGCGTTGCGAACACATGCTGTCGGAAAGGCCTCACAACGGTGTACAAGTGACTTCCTGGTGATTCACAATGGTTCGTGTTAAAGCTTCCACCATTCTACAAGTGGTTCAGGGCTTTGGGCTTTGGGCTTTGGGGGCTTGAACCCTTCAACACAACCCTAAACCCTAAACCCTAAACTAGGTCTACGGATTTAACGCGGGATTTTCTGACGCCTGAAGGCTCCAGTTGGACTTGGGCAGGCAGCCCCTGCTCGCTCTACGTTGACTCTTTCTGGGCTTTCTGAGCTAGGCGAGCAACATTGCCAGCTGAACCACGAGCACACGCGACATGACTTATTCGGTTTAGGGTTTACAGTAGAAGCCAGAAAGTTGGAATATCATTATCGTAACCCCTTTAAAACTTTAAGGTAAATTATAGGGTATCCTACCATTAATACATATTCCAACTTTCTGGAGTTCCCTTTAGGGAGGTGGCCGAACCAGAAGTATCAGCTTTTTTGGGCACTGTCACCTTGATAGCATCGGCAATGCTCTTTCTGCTTCTGAACCTACACCCTACACGGCTGCATTTCTTTCATGAGCCCTAAACTGTATTCGTATTCCAACTCTCTAACTCCTGTCATGAACGATTTTGACTTATGATTAAGCTGCACCCATGCGAAAGATCCATCTCCATAGATCGACCCCGTGTAGAACCCTTTAAGGAGCCCTTTCAGGAAGCCCCTTAGAGCGGCAAAAGCCCTAAGGGTCCAAAGGACCCAATAATTGGGTACTTAGGTTTCGGAAAGTAGTTATGTAGCTTAGTATTTGGGAGAGTGGGAACTACTGGGGAAGCTAGTCTTGCGTTCGGTGCTCTTAGCTCAAGAGCTTCCTCAGCCTGGCAGCTGCGATTTAGGGCTTGCGGGTTTAGGGCTTCAGGGTTTAGGGTTTAAGGGTTTAGAGTTTGGGGCTTTAGGGTTTAGGGGCTTCGGGTTTATGGCTTTAGGGTTTGGGGTTTAAGAGTTTAGGGTTTGGGGCTGTAGGGTTTAGGGTTTAAGGGTTCAGAGTTGGGGGCTTTAGGGTTTAGGGTTTTAAGGGTTTAGGGTTTGGGGCTTTAGGGTTTAGGGGCTTCGGGTTTATGGCTTTAGGGTTTAGGGTTTAAGGGTTCAGGGTTGGGGGCTTTAGGGTTTAGGATTTAAGGGTTTAGGGTTTGGGGCTTTAGGGTTTAGGGTTTAAGGGTTTAGGGGTTTCGGGTTATGGCTTTAGGGTTGAACCAGGTCCGCCTGTCATTGGGCGGGGTCTGGTCAAGGTCTTCATGCTGCTGTTTCTGCTTCTGAACTCCTGTTCTGGATTCTCCATATGTGTCTGTAGACTAACCGGCTTGCTTCCACAGTCTGGATCATTGCGCTGGACCTCATGCATCAAGCTGCATCGGCTCCCGAAGTTAGAAGAAACCTTTAATTAAGCCCAAGACTCCAAACCCTACTTAGCCTTAAAACCCTAAGCCCCAACGGCCAAACCCCTACACCCAAAACCCTGACCTTTAAGCCCCAATGCCCTAAACCCGCAACCACAAAATGCCAAGCCAAGCTGCTGCCTGATCGTTAAGGAACGGCTTACACCAGGAGCAGAGGGCCATGACGATACCAGAGATGATAGGATACCTTTGGTTTTGTGTTTAGGGTTCAGGGTTTAGGGTGTCGAGTTTGGGGGTTGGGTGATTTCGGCTTTCTTGTGACCTATGCGACTATTATGAAACATGTGCACGTGACTCAAAGACTCAATATAGACCCCGCCTAGTAAAGACGTTCGGTTAAAGGGACCCGTGTAGAACCCCTCATAGAACCGAGCTACTTCTTGTTGAGGATTTGACTTCGAACCGCGTGTTTGATATAAGGGGTTTCGGGTTTAGTTGTTCAGTGGTTTAAGGGTTTAGGGTTTAGGGGGTTTAGGGGCTTAGGGCTTTAAGGGTTTAGGGGTCTAGGGTTTAAGGGTTCAGGTTTTTTGCGAGGATCAGGGTTTAGGGTTTAGTGCTGGTGTGGGGCACCCAAAGCTTGAGTGCAAGCACTGCACTGAAGCTTGGGTCTTGGTGCTTCAAGGTTTTGAGCTCAAGGGATTTAGAGGCTTTAGCCTTTAGGGGTCCGGCGTTTAGGGTTTCAAGCTTTCGGGTTTGCAAAGAACAGAACAGCAAGCGAATCCAACTTCTCACACCGCCGAATTTAAAGCCAAAATCTTCAGTCCATAACCCCGCAAACGCCAAACCCTGCAAACCCTGCGCCCCTGAACTCCTAACCCCCCCAGACTTTCAAACTCCGAAACTGGAAACCCCAACGCTGAACCCTAAATCCATTATACAAAGCTTATAGGCCATTTACAGGAACTCATAAAGGAACCCTAAACCCCTAAGCCCAAACCACACGAACAGGCCAGGCACAGAAGAAGTTTTGCCTTGTCATCCTGGGCTACGTTCGGAGATTGTTAGTTTAGGGTTATAGGGTCTAGGTGCTTGAGCTAGTTGGGGTTTCAGGATCTAGGATTTGTTTGGGCTCAGGTTTTAGGGTTGTGGGCTTCAGGGGTTTAGGGTTTGTTGCTTTTTGGGAGTAGGGTTTGCTGTATGCTGTAGGTGTATAGGGGTTTGAGCTTGCAATCCATGCAACCCTAACTCCTGAGTGCCACAGGCTTGGGAAATTGAAGAGGCACGGATTCGACACGAGACGTAGGACATTTGCTGATTTTATCAATACCGTTGCTGCTCTCTACAATTTACCATGAAGGGCATGATGATGCTCCCTTCAATGCATCGAAAATACTTCAAAAAATTTGCGCATAGCATGGTAGTGCCGTGCCCTCTAGTCAGGACAACATGTCGCTTGAGCCGCAGAGCTCAGCCCGAAACCGTTTGCTAAACAAACACTTATGAGATCCTGCATGCCGTGCGTTCTCCTTGTGTACAAGGCCGATAATGGGATTCTACTGCTACGTAACGCATTCTCTGAACCATGCTGCACATGCTTGAGACGATGCTAGCATCAGAGTTATCGCTTCAAGTAAAGTACCCCCCATCCGACGTTGAGGCATGTCCCCAAAGGGTCCTATGTACCGATATAGTAGAATGTAGGGTTTCCATATTAGGAATTACTATTATGACTTAGGGAAGTATCCCCCATAACAGTACATAGAACCCTTTGGGGTCATGCACCAATGGCAACCTTAGTCATGCGTGCAAGCAAACCGAAGCTCGTGACCCGAAAACAAACTCTGACACCTAAGCTTCGGGTTCTTTCTAAACCCTACTTACAGGATCATGCTATTATAAGGGATCTATAAGGGTACTATAATGTAGGTTTTTATTATGCCCAATCAAGAACGAGCATCGTCCGCCACGGAGGTGTAGGTCAACAGAAGCATGATCTGCAGAGCACCGCGGAGGACATAAAAGATTACTACAGAGCTCAATAAACTTCACAAAGTATCTCGGACTTCAGGGTCAAGGAGCGGAGTAGGGGCCTTGATAATTGTAACAGGGTTCTGGCGCCCATTATACTGTACCTATAATAAGGAACCACCAAAATAATATAGGTGATTATTAAGGCCCTTGTAGTAGGGGCAAAAGGTACTGCAAATGGGGCTGTCTTATTCAGAGTAAGCCTCGTCGATACCTGCTTAACAAGCCGTATTCAGAGTAAGCCTCGTCGATACCTGCTTAACAAGCCGGCCGATCTTCCCCGTAAACCCTAAGCCCCCCATTTCTTAAGCCTGAACCAATTCAGCTTGAGCCCTAAACCCCTAAACCCCTAAACCCTAAACCCCTGAACCCCTAAACCCCTAAACCCCTAAACCCCTAAACCCCTAAACCCCTAAACCCCTGATTGCGTAAACCCCTAAACCCCTAAAGCCTAAACCCCTAAACCCTAAACCCTAAGCTCCAAATCCTGAACCCCGAATCCTGAACCGGGAGGCTCCGGAAGCTGGTTGGATCACCCGAAGCCTCGCCGAACTACAACAGACCAACAACTTGAAACAAACTCGCTCCTATATACGGGCTCCGTCTTAAAGGGCTCCATAAGAGTTCTATAAGGGATCTATGAGGGTCTAGATCCCTAAAACCCAGAAGCTCGGCTCAGTGACTTACCTTTGGTTAGTAGGGAATGGAAGAATGGTAGTAATAGTCGTTATATTTGCACCCCATTCCTCCATTCCCTACTAACCAGAGGTAAGCTATCAAACCGAACCGGAGAACAAACATAGCATCAACCAACATCGGGGGGCGCGGAGGGGGCGGGGGTTCAGATCCAATTTTAGCTTATGGATTTCGCAAGATCTTCCTCTGTGATCCGTGAATAAGCAGACAGCTGACAAGTATGCCATGATCCACCTGCCGAAACACAGCTCCCTAAACCATAAATCCCAATCGCTAAACCCTTTGGCATTCAATCACGTACCCAGCGGCCGCGATGTCCCCTCGCTTGACGACCTAAGCTTGGGGCTCAGAGGGTTCTTTTCAGGACCAGGTTTGAGAGTCTAGGATTGGGGGTTTATGGTTTAGGACGGTTTAGGGCTTGGGACCCGCAGCCCCAATCCAAATCCCACATCCTGAACTTTTGCGTGGACAAACCAGGCCAAAGAAGCTTAAACTGGTCAACTAGGAGGTGCTTTCAAAGCCTTTGAAAAATATTAGTAGGTAAGATCCTCTTAAGCCCAATAAGGGAAAATATAAAGTGTCCCAAAGCCCCACCTAGTCAAGGTAGACAACATAGAAAGCTCACAGAAATACGAAGTCCCATGATCCCCCAAGTACACCCTAAAGCTGCCGGAACAGGAGGCTTGAAAACTCCGGGAGGGCTGGACAGGGTGCCTACCTGGACCAAACGTATGTAGAATAATAGCATTTTATAGGTGTTGGGCCATTGTTCTACCTACTTTGGGGGGTCTAGGTAAGAGTTCTATAGTAAGGGCTTTCAGGTTTGGCGGGTGACGCAGGGGTCTGAACAATCGGAAACAGGTATTCGGGATTATGATACAAGAGCTGGATAATGAGTCTCAGGAATTTTGCGCGATTACCAAGTATGCAGACCCCCACATGCTGTGTTAGGGTTCATGCATGAACATGCCATCAACTCCGACACCAGTCCGATATTCATGGCAAAACCGTACGGTCAATTCCAAAACATTCCACCAGCTAGCTGATGCCTGCTGATACTGTCTGTATTTTTTGATGCGCTTGGCCTGGATCTTCGGGGAGTCAAGTTTGGGATGTTGGATCTGACTTTGAAAGTTCCATTGGCTATCAATCTTTCCTGTATTCAAGTATCTTTGCTGCTTGGCGAAGCTTCCGCTTGTGCGCGAAATGCGCCGAAGTATTGGAGATTAGTGGCGGATGCTTTGACATGATACGGATGTGTTGAAGATAGCCCTTGTACTTGTACTTGTGATGTTGTGCCCTACTTGAGCCATCCCACTTACAACTCGGCTTGCAAGTAAACTACTTGCTACAGCTCCTGCTTCCTCAAGTACCAACAAACTTTAATGTCCCTTGATTAGGGAGCTCTTTTTCTACAAATTCATGATAGGGTCAACCAGGATTTAGAGGGTCTTTGATCGAAGAGTTGAGGAGTTGGGGTTTTGGGTTGTTTAGTTAGAGTAGAGGCCCTACCATACAGGGGTCAGAGGTTGCTCTTACTGTAGAGTCTAGGGTTTTGGCTTCCGGCTAAGGGTTTGGGATACGCCATGCCTACTCCGCACTAGACTTTAAGCCGCGGCTTATGCGCTCTGAGGAGCCCATCGTAAAGCCTGAAACCGTTTAGTCGAACCCTAAAAACCCTGACACCTCCAGGTCCTAAACCCTACTGTAAGCTAGACCCCTGAACGTCAGCAGAGTGACGATATCCCACCACCAGTATTGAGGCTCAAAGCCATCGATGAAGAAGCCATACCTGCTCTGGGGGTTTAGGGTTTGGGGTTTAAGGTTTCGGGTTTCTGTTAAGGCTTCCTTTGCGAGCTCTATAAGGCTTGTATAGGGGATTTGGGTTTCGGGTGTAGGGTTAGGGCCTAGGGGTCAAAGCTTAGGACTTCGGGTTTCGGACGGGTTTACACCTTCTTCGTAAGTCTTGGCCCTAAACAGCCCCTACCCCCAAAAAAAATCGAAGCACCAAACCACCCCAAGGCCCCTCCAAAGGAAGCGTAGCCCGATTCAAGAGCTACCGATGAAAGAGCCTTACTCTCCGGACCTCTGATCTTCTCCCAAATGGGTAAATCCAACAAGGCACCTTAAAAAAAAAAAATACTAAAAATCAGGCACTGCAAAAAAAACAAAAAGTTAAAAGTGAGGCGCCTTTAGGGTTTCGGCTTTAGGCCTTAGGGTTCAGAGTTTGGGGTTCGGTTTAGGGCTTCGCGCATTGAGGTGTGTGCTTCTGTCTGAAGGGCACTTCGGATCTTGAAGACATCAGTGTGATGAAGCTGAACGGTGCTTCAAGGAGCAAAATCACAAAGCTGAGTCAGCACCGATACCATTCCTGCAGGCCCCTTACTACAATGATAAATCCGAGCAAAACTTATAGTCTAACATGAAGGACCCACTCTAATTCTTAAGGGCCCTAAACTTGGGGGGGACAGCCTTATTCAAGAAACTCCCCGCGTGCCCTCCAACGCTGCCTTCGGTGGTTGGCTGGGCTGTTTCTGTCATCCAAGCGCCAGATGACGAGATAAAGCCTTCAGTTGAGGCAGAGGGGTGAGGGCTTAGAGGCTCAGAGTCCAAACCCTAAACCCTAAACCAGGGTTTAGGGTGTAGGGTTTAGAGTCAACAGCCTGGGTGTCTAGATTGGACGGTTCATACCGAAAACCTAGTGTCAGACGTAGTTCATACGAAGTAGGGTTTTTTCGTCACACACCGAGATACAATCGCAAATATTCCCAAGGAGCCCTGTCTACAAAAGCTCTATTTTTCAATACAGAAAGCTCTTGGCTGACTTCCGAACCCCTCCTACCACTTAAACTTTTAGCCCCCTTACTCTAATTCATATAGAAGCCCAAAAAGTGATAGTCCTACGAGCCAACCAGAACGCCAAGGAAAGCCGAAGCTGGGAATGCCTGGCCAATGCAGCCGAGAAGCAGCAAAGGAATGCCAATGCCTTACACACATCCGGATTAGGGTTTGCGATTCAGGTTCGGGGTTGCGGATTCGGGCATGTTCCGCGCAGCAGCACATTCACGTGGCCGACTCTTGCAGGTATGGGATATCTGTGTCTTTCTATCCTAAACCCTAAACCCCTAAACCCCCTAAACCCCTAAACCCCAAAACCCCTAAACCCCTAAACCCCAAAATCCCAAAACCCCAAAAACCCTAAACCCCTAATTCCCAAATAACCCCAAAACCCCTAAACCCCTAAACCCACTTCTGGGGGAGTTCTGCTCTTTGGGAGGCTTCGAGCTTTTAGGCATCGTCTCTGAACCATCCTACTTGGAGGATCATGGGACTTAGTAAGTAAGGTTATAAGTACCTTAATTGGGGTTATAAGTGGCTATAGGTATAGTTACCCTAGTTATAACCCTAGTTACTAAGTCCCATGATCCTCCAAGTAGAGCTCCCCTAAACGCCGAAGTTTTACGGCTGCGTCCTGTTTTTAGCATGGCCTTTCGGGGCACAGCAAAGGTGCGACAGCGAAGGTGGAGATGCGAATGCTTGCTTCGATTTTTGTATGCTCTCAAAGAAAGATGTCGGTTTAAGTGCAATCACACAAGACTTCATCTTACTTAAATTTAAACATATCATACCTAACGCAGGGGTTATTCATAAGCACAAGGGTGCCACTTTCGTCGAACCTCCAAACCCCTGAACCCTACACCCTAAAGCCCAAGCCCCGGTTAGGACGACCCTAGATCCTGAACCGACAGGTTCGAGCAACCCCAGTTGTAGCAACGCCTTCAAAACCCAGCTTTTTCTCCTGGGGTCCTTTTCAACAGTCCGAATAATGAGGGATTAAACCAGCTAGGGAAGATAGAAATTTCTCCCAAATCGATAATTACCCAGTACAGGGCCCAATATCCCTTAACTACGGAGTGTACCCTAAATGATGATGTTAACGCTTTTATATCAAAGTATACGAATTCAGTGATACCGGGCTCTCTGGGAACTTATAGCGTTTAGGGCCTCTGATTTTTTGGGGGAGTTGAAGTCTTTGGCGTGTGGGTGTTGGTTATGTTTAGGAATTAGAAGTTTAAAACTTCTGGCTTTGGGGTTCGGGGTTTGGGGGGGTCCATGTACTCATATAGTATATACATTGGCTAATGTAGTCCCTGTTTAGGTACATTGGGCCCAAAGTATATGCTATATAGGTACATGGACCCTCAGGGTACGTGCCCATGAGGGTTGAAGTTGGAGGGTTCTACCCGAAACCTAAAAGCTAAACCTTCCTTGTGAATCTCGGACGCCCACTGCAAGCGCGTTCTAGTCTAAACGCATTTGGCAACACCCTCTTGAAATCTAGAGCCTATAAGCGCTGCAGCACCATACAACTGAAGCGCAATTCTGAAAAGACCAGCTTTCGGCACAGCCCCTAAAGCCTAAACCCAAAACCCTAAACCCTAACCAAAGTTGAAGAATTGCAACTCTGAAAGGACCAGGATTTCGGCACAGCTGCACCAACAGCTAAGCCCAACAAGCGCCAGAATGGCTAGTGGCCAATGGTCGCCTCGCAGGATTATTATCTTGGTAAACCCCTGCCCTTGGCGAGCCCAATCACCGCGAATCTTAGGGGGGTGTGGGGGGGCGGGGTAGGGGACTATACTTTCCCAAAACAGGCCTTGCTAGGTTCTTATGTGGGCATTAAGGCCCCTTACCCCCCCTCCTCCTACCCCCCTAAGTTTACTAAGGGTCTCTATGACCCAACACACCTGAACCTAGGAATAACGTACCGTTGATAATCATGAGAAAACTAACAAGTAGTAGCTGGTCATCGTCATGATAGCCTACACAGTTATTCGACGAAAAGTATTCATAATAACTGTTCATGAAAGCAGTGACAAAGATACAGATTTTGATAACGATAAGACAAATTTGATAACAGTACTAGTAGCAACAATACTTGCAACACCAATAGCAAGGTCTCCCTTTAAACACCTTTGTACTTAAAAACCTAATGTAAGGCGTAGTCCTTAACCCCTTATCTGACCTAGTCTTGGACATCTACTGCTTGTGCCATGGGAACCCGGACTGCGACCAGACTTAAGCGTCTTTTTTTGAAATTTGATCCGGGATTTCCACAAAGGCACCCCGAAACCTTGAAACCTCAGCAATCATTGGTATTTCTAATCCCCTACACAATCGGTACAGGACGTTGGAAGACTGGAAACGGTAAATGAATCCTAAACCCACAACCCCAAAACCCTCAACATGAAACCCGAATGCCGAATTCTAAAAGTCCAGGCCCTCAAAGCCGTACGCGGCCACACACCCAACTCCAGTAAGAAGCCTTTTACACACTTACTGCTCTTATCTGCTCTTATTGATAACATATATAACGGGTACCCCTACAATATACACTACCATGTCGTCATGGTGAGCCTGACAGCGCCACTATGGGACCCAGAAACACCTACATAGATTGTACAGAATTGTACACCCTAAAGACTTGTTCCCCTGTGGGACCTATACGGAAAAGCGGTACGGCCTTGCCAGCACTGAAGATCGGGATGTGGTAGCAGTCGCTGCTTCACGCCATCCTCGATGGGGCATCTTGGAATTAGCTGCCACGGGTTTATAGGGCTTTGAAGAATGGAGTTATCACTTGATACTATTGTGTGTGGGCTAGAATTTGAGCAACACCTTTCTGAATCTTGCACAAGAAAGCCAGCAAGCGTTGAGAGTTGTTTCTATCTCGCCTCTTCACACACCTTTGATATACAAGGGCAGAGTGCGTAGAACCGTATGAACCCCTGAAAAATCTTTGCAACCCCGTCATAATTCCTTGGAACACTCTGAACAGCATGGTGCGACACTCGTTGTAAAGAGTACACATTGGATCTTTTCGCAGAGTCGGCATGTTCAGGCACGGAGGTCATTTTCGAGTTAACGAGAGGGGTCTGGATGGGTTCTGGCGTCTAACCAGCTGCTTCTATGGCCTTACATGAGTCGCATTGATGAAGCCTGATAGCCAGAACATACAGACCCTGCTGTGGCTGGCGAAACCCATGCCTGACCAGTATAGACACGCTTGAACTCACAGGGGCCCACCCAAACTTGATTAAGAAACCTTGGGATTTATTAGGGTGAATCCTACTACTTTGGGGTTATAAGCCCAGGTTATAGGCCCTGGTTTCTTAATCAGGTTCCTACATTAGCCTGCATCCTGGGCTTGGAACCCCGAGCCCAAGACCCAAAACACTCAAACTTCTCAAGCTCGAACCCAACCCTAAAGCAGGCGCTTAACTCTAAAGACCAGCCCATGACAGGCCCTAAACCCTAAGAGCGAGGCCTGCTGTGGCACAGGCTTGCACCAGATCATCTGCAGGTAGTGCGAAAGCAGTGCTGGCCACCTCGAATTTCTCCCAAGCTGCTGCTGCGAGTCTAGGGTTACAGGTGCCAGGTTCGGGAGGTTGAGTTCAACTGTCAGGGTGTACCTTACTACCCCAATAAGCCACAGAAATAGAAGGTTAAACTTTCCGATTCCTACTAAACTCTAAGAACCCAAAATCTTCAAAGGTTAGGTATTGGGGATCTAAGGTACAGGTTAGGACCGCTAAGACTTACGAATTCGGATCCCGAGTTCGGGGTGGGGGGGGGGTGATGTACATCGAAGATGCCAGGAAAGCAACTACATATTTTCGGGCCCTCTGCTTTCCATGAACGTGCTTGATAGGGTTCTGTGGTATATGCGACTGTAATCAAGCTAAGGAACCCTAAGGACCAAGATTCCAAATTATTCAAGCCCCCATGTTAATCCTGCTCACGGTAGGATGCTTATCGTTTCATGAGCAGCTTCTTTCATGCATGTCCGTTGTGCTGGCACACACTGCTCTTTAGTTTGCGGATCGGTGACGAGATTGGTGCTCTTTGGTTTTTGCAACGATGTCTTCTCAGATTCTCTTGGCACTGGTATACCGGTATACTCGTAGTTGCAGGTGCATGCCTTTGCGTCGGCGTATGCTGCAAACACGTGCGTGTATACGCGAGTGAAGCTATGTCAATGTAGAAACGAAAGTACAGCAGTGCGCCACTGAACAACCTAGTGATAAGGTCTTGCTTCAGAAATACTAGCTGGTCCGAGCTACCTTCTCAATCTGCCCTGATGTTGGGCAAAATACTTTGCGGACCCTACCTTCAACCCTAAACTGCCACTGCGACTTATGACACATATGACTATCTGGCCAAGCCTTCTGCCATAAGAGGGTGGGGTGACTAGACATGAAGTGGGAGACTCTGTGCTGAAGTCTACCTGGGGCACATGGAGCTTTCAGTCATACTCTCCTTCCAACTGTTCAATCAATCAATATATATATATATATATATATATGAGGATCAGAAGAAGTCCCCAAGAGTCCATAGGCTTAGTACTTGATTTGAGGATGGTGGTTTTGGAGGTTACTCAGTCGGAAACAATAACTCAGAGTTGAGTTGGGTTCAGCCGAGCTTCATGTTGATCAACGTGACCCAAATCACCTCACAAACGATCACGGTGTAGGGTTGACGGGTTCGGGTGCAGTTCCGACCCTGCTGGTCTTATGTCTGTTCGGGCTTTTTCCAACATGCAAATCAGTGTAGTTCAGGGGCCTGCGTTATTCGAACCGGGTTGCGGTGTCTTCTTAACTGGGAGACGCTGCGGAATAAGATTAATTACTCGCTATCCAGACCCTGATGGAATAGAACTCTTATGGGCCTTATATAGTAATGGTAATTCTTAAGGCCCCTTTAGTACCCTTGTAGACCCCTCCCTTATAGTCACCCTTAGAGTGCCCAGCCCGAATAGAAGCCCCCACACTTCTGAGCCGCCCACACACTTGAAGCCTTCACCCTAAACCCTAAAACCTAAGTCCTAGACGATGAACTCTAAATTTCAACCCCGATACTAGGCCCCGAACTCCAAAACCCCGAAGTCCTTTATCCTGAAAAACTAATGCGAGTTTCCGCAAATAGGGGACCCTAATAATTTAATATAGTACCCTAAATTGTAGGACCCTTAGTAAAATGACTCCCAAGATAAGGTATCCCTAATTTTTGGAAACTCCCACTTCAGCCCGAAGATGAACCGTTGAGGTTGCACCGCGCTTACCCATTCCCTCAGGGTCCATGTGCCTGAATAGGGTTGGAGGGTTCCTATAAGGGTTGTGTAAGGGCAACATATGGGTTCTATAGGGCAGTATACACTGAGGCCAAAGTAGTCCCTTTATTGGTACTTTGAGGCCAAAGTCCATACTGTTTGAATACATGGACCGTTAGGGTTTCACTCTCAAAAAGAGGTCTTCATCATCCTACTACTTAACAGTACTGCTAAGCTCAAAGGAAATGGCGGACAGTAAAAGTGATACATCATAGGAAGACTAGCAACATTATCAATAACAAGAATACGCTCATGGTCAGAGTACGGCTTGGAGGCCCTGGAAGCGACATTTCACACATCTAAGGTCTTAGGAGAGATGTCTATGTACATGTAGAACATATATGAGTGCATATATATATATAAATAAATATATATAAATATATATATATATATATATATATATACATATACATATACATATATATATATACATATATATATATATATATGCGACATAGCGATTTATACAAGTACAAGTCTGGGGAACACAGTCTCAATCCATATCTCGCGACAAGCAAGAACAACTGGGGCCTGTAGTGCGTAATTTTCTGCATAAATATGTATACACACATACACACACATGCACACATAGCTACATGTACCGAGCCGTGCATAGAACAACCGCAGTTTCAGTGAGGGAGCTCGTGGTCTTGTTGGCTTGAGAAGCTTAGTGAATTTGTTGTGTATGAACGTGGTACTTCTGCATCTCTCGAGCAGAAGGCACCTCCGAAGGTCCGTAAGAAGTGACCACACTCACGGTACCTAGAAACTACCTAGACCCCCAAAGTAGGTAAGGTAATGGCCCAATACCTATAAACGGCAACTATTCTACATACTTTGGGGGTCCAAGTAAGCTCTCAACTCTCCACTCTTAACCTGAGCGCCTGAACCCTCAAGTTGAAACCTACACCCACATCCAATAAGCAAACAACAGGAGGTCGACGCTCGAGCTTCCTGTCTAATTCAGCCTAGCATCGGGCGTGCACTGGTGGAAAAGCATCCGCGGGGAAGGGAAACTCGTGAACAGGCCGAAATCGAGGTGGTCCTAGGCAGGCTTCGGGCTCATGCTACTTGTCGGGTGTCATGGGGAACTAAAGGTTAACCTTTTTGGTTATATAGGGATTATATAGGGACTATACTACCCAAAAAAGGTTAAAGGTTACCAGGTCATGCAGTGGGGTTGGGGCTTCATCTCGGCTCGATGATTCTGGGCTTGCGGGGTTGATTGCTTTCCGTGTTCTTTGTCACCTTGGTCTACAAAGGCTGGGCTTTTTAAGTAACCGGGGAGACAAAAGTATACACGTCTTTTCATAAGCGTCCGTTTAAGAAACAAGTATTAAAATACTCCAAAGATCAGAAGACCCGAATTCGGGGTCTTGAGGGCGGGAGTGCTGCTGAAGATGCCTTCCCACGGCGGCAGGCTGCAGGGTTTAGGCCAGAAGCCCTACATCCTAGACCTCCTAAACTCTGAAACTTGAACCTAAACCTAGTTTAGGGTTTAGGGTTCAGTTACCAAAGGGGTTTCGAACAAAGACGTAAGGGCGTCGAAAGCCTGCAGATTAGCACCCAGGTTCTCAGCCGCAAGTAGGCTTTAACGGCGATCAATTTACTTATGCAGTGGATATGCTGACCTGGAACCGCAAATAGCCCCCTTCAAACCAAGGACGGTAGTATGCAACAAGCCCCTCTTGGGGTTCCTTGCCTGCGTTGTACAGGTCTGTCGCCAAGTTGCGAAGTTCGCTGCGGGATGCTGTCGGCCTCCCGTTTCTGATGCGCTGTCTTCTCCAGCCAGCCGAAGACAACTGCTAGCTTGGCGGCATCATGCTCCGGACACCCAGTCGTCCTCCAAGGCTGTGGTTGTACACGACGTAATTGTGGGCAAAAGCGCGCCCGACGCCGGCAGGGGCCTGCACTACATCTGTGATCCACTTCAGGACCTTGGCGATGCCACCCGTATAGGGGACCCCTTCAGGAGGTGTGCGATCTTGACACTGTCACCTCCTGCACACTACCCCACGTCCAGCTACCGAAGACGGCGTCCTCGGGGTCCAAGAATGTCCGGAGGGCCTGCGCTCGTGTGACTGCAGTCGGGGCCCGTTCATGGGAGTAGCTTAAAGCCCAGGATGTCTTTCGAGCTGATATTGCGAGAATCCGTCTCTGAAAACATTAAATCCCAAACCCCAAAACCCTGAAGGTTTAGGGTTTAGGTAAATCCAAACCCTAAACCCAAAAACAGCCCCCGAATGGCAAACTGATCTCGGACCCAAACCGTAAACAGATCCTTAATCTAGAACTTCCTACTTAAATGATCATGGGACTTAGTAACTAGGGTTATAATTGGGGTAACTATACTTATAACTACTTATAACCCCAATTAAGGTACTTATGACCTTACTGACTAAGTCCCATGATCCTCCAAGTACAGTGCAGACATGACCTTAACCCTACAACCTAAGCTTATCCTGGCTTGGGGCTTAGGATTTAAAGGATTCCTGAACCCTAACTCGTAACATGCTCCTTAATGTGAAACTGAAGCGTAAACTGCCTGAGCCCCGAACTGATCCTATAATTAGATCCCAGACAAGGCTCGAAGCCCTAAACCACCTAAACCCAAACTTCTTCTTGATCCCAAAGCCCAAAACTTGTCCTAAAGCCTCGACACCTAAACTTATCTTTAATCCCAAAACCGATCCTGAAGCTCATCTTGATATCTGAAGTTATCCTAAAGCCCAAATGATAAACTTATCCTTAACCGCCTTAACCCTAACTCATAACCCATCCTACACCTCAAGCCTATCTTAAGAGCTGAACTTATTTTAAAGCCTGAAACCCAAACTCATCAGTAAAAGGCACAAGGTCGAGTTGAGCTGATGCCTCCAGGAATCCGCAGAAAACGTCAACGCTTTAGGGTTTAGGATTGGGGGTGTAGGGATTTATGGCTTGGGATTCATGGGTTTAGGGGTTGGGGTTAAGGGCTTTAGGGCCAAATTTAGGGTTCACAGTTTAGGGGTTTAGGAGTTGAGGGTGCTTGGAGGATCATGGGATTTCGTAAGTAATGTTATACGTACCGTAATTGGGGTTATACGTAGCTATAAGTATAGTTACCCTAATTGTTGAAGCCCCGAGGCAGTCATGTGGTGTGGTAATTAAATGTGTCGGAGAGTTGCAAGCTTTTGTTCTGCAGGGAAGGCTACGGTTCAAAACCCTTGTGCCATGCATGTCGCGAGTGAGACACGTCACGACTGGCATAAGTAGAGAGCACTCTGCATTTGTGCCATAATCGGCAGAAGCCAGCTGTAAGTTCTGGTAAACAGTCTAATCTGACGAATGTCAAATGACATGTTCGCTGAAGACTGCAGGATGTTGTTTGTTGCGTGAAAAAGATTCGATCGCTGAGCGGGTGTTGCCATGGCCGATTCTGCTGGCGATATAAATCCCGTTCCTCAGGTTATGAGCGCCCAACCGGGTGCTGCGCAGCCGCAGGTTAACGGTGTTCCTGGGAGCCCGAGAAGGGCGGAGGAGGAAACCGCAGCGGACAGGCCGGGTCCATCCTTGTCGGGTGGATCCGACCAACCGCAAACTATGGAAGTGGATGTGGCAGGAAGTGAAAAAGGTGACGGAGACGCCAGTCGGGCGCCGGGTCCGTCATCCACGCATGCAGCCGCACCTACAGCAGAAGGAGACCCTGTGGGAAGTGGAGCTGCCGTTTCTGGCTTGTCTGGAAACCAGGGACTACAGGCCCGTGCCGACATGTCTGACCAAGTGGGACCACGCAGGGCGACGTCAGCTGGAGTTCAGAATGCGCAGGCGGACAGCGAGCTCCCTGCAGATGCCTTTGAAGAGGGCGTCCAAGGGGTTTTTCATACCCCCAGATCCGCTCGCTCGCGCTTGAGTGGATCTATGGGAGCGCGCCATGGCCAAACTGGAGCTTGGCCAGGATGGGTTACGCGCTTGGGAGAAATGTTCAAAGCGCCTCCTGTGAGTTGGTTGCCTAGTCCGTTGCCATCCCCACCGAGACCGAGATTGCAAGCAGACCGCATTTATAGCGGACCGTCGGTGCAAACTGCACCCGCTGGAACAACTGGAATGGCGGGTCCCTGGAGACCTGTGGCGTGTGATGAGATTAGGGGCTTAGGGGTGTTAGGGCCTAACCAGCATAATACCCCTAGCAGCAGCAGCATACCGGCGGAAGCAATACAGGCGGAGGTGCAACGACAGTTGGGAAGCCTTTTGGATAGACTACAGCAGGCGGAGATAGAAAACCGGCGACTCCAGGATCAACTACATCGTGGGCGGTGTGCTCCGGGAGTACCTCGAGCCAGTAGCAATCAGGGAGTACCTCAAGGCAGTAGCAATCAGGGAGTACCTCAAGGCAGTAGCAATCAGGGAGTACCTCAAGGCAGCAGCAATCAGGGAGTACCTCAGGGCATTAGCAATCAGGGAGTACCTCAGGGCAGTAGCAGCCAGGGAGTATATCAAGACATTAGCAACCAGGGAGTACTCCAGGGAGATCTTCATCAGGGACTATTTCAGCGTGATGATTGGGGCAATGTGCTACCTCAAGGTAATCCTGATGCTACAGCTACATCCCTTCCCGTACCTGAAGGTGATCCCTTGACGCAAGGCCCTAGCAGACCAAACCCTTGGAGAGACCCTTTGGGAGCTTTGTGGGAAGAGTTGATTGCTGGACGAGCGGCCTCGGAGACTCAGGTACGCTCGCAAGGTCCCATCCGTGCAGACCAACCAGCGCCTGTGGCAGAGGCTACGTCAACCAATGCTATCTTGGAGGCTCTCACCAGGAATCTTGCGGGACTACAAGCACTTCAAGAAAAGACGATTAAGAAGGACCTAGACGCAGATGAATCCCCCGAGCAGGTGAAGAGCACTGCAGCACCGCTTCCTTTGCTGCCCAACCCTGAAGGCATGGCGATGGGGATCCTTCTTCAGGACTGGTTAGCTCAGGTTGCGATACCCATGCAGGATCTTTCAGCGTCTTCAGGGGTGTGGTGGTCCCAAGTGTTGGAGCTGGTGCAGACCACGTATGCATCCTGGTTGGCTTCGTCACCGTTGGAGCGTTTGCAGATGGAGCCAAAGGACCATGGTGCCCTCACCACGGGCAAGTGGACGAGGGTGAATGCAAGAGCGTGTTCGCTTATTTTGCAGGCCCTCCCAGAATGTGTGAAGTTGGACCTCATCGCTAGAAGGGTGGTTCAGAGTTCGCCGTTGGTTCTATTCAGACTTCACACTACTTATCAACCTGGGGGCGCTTCAGAACGATCTACGGTGTTGAGCAGCCTTCAGAATGCCACGCAGTTTGAGACGATCGAGGAGTGTCTGGTGTGGTTAAGAGCATGGCCCAGGTGGATCCAGAGGTGTCGTGATTTGAAGATGATGGCACCGGACGGCTCGGTTCTCGCTAAGGCCTTAACTACTTCCACTGCCCGCTTCATCGCGGATAACTCGGACACACAGTTCAGGACACAACTACTGCGATCGAGTTTGCGCATAGACTCACAGCCCACCCAGGCGGATGTGGCCCGGTACCAGCAGCACCTCCAAGCAGAGATTGAGGCGTTGATCAGATCGCGGCCAAGCCGGGGCTATCTGGTTCCACTGCAAGGGTTAAAAGCTTGGGAACTACATCTACTCCTACGTCACCTACAACCCCGGGGCAGGGCAATAGCTCAGGAGGAGGTGGGAAGGGTCTATGCAAATACTTCTTTCGCTCTGGAGGCTGTCGACGTGCTGCCAAGTGTCCGTATAGCCATGACATGAGTCATCTGGCGAAGTCTGAGCGTGCCAAAAAATGCTTACTTTGTGGAGGTGAAGATCACAGGCAAAAGGACTGCCCGACCAAGGCCGCGAGACCAGGTGCAAGACCGACGCCCCAAGGAGGAGCATTGCCTTTTCAAACTCCAAGTGCTCCACGCGGTCCGGCAGTTCAGAGATGTGAGCCAGAAGGCGAAGTCTCTCCTTCGGCGACTTCGGCAGCAGCGGTGGTACCAGGTGAACCGGTCTGGACACTGGAGTCGCTTCTTCAAGCGGCGGCAAAGGTGGCTGGAGCAAAGCCCTCAGAAGCTCCATCTATCAATGTAGTGTCCCTGCGCTCGAACTGGACACTTCAGGGTGATGGAGAAGCGTTCGCTTTGGTAGATTCAGGTGCTACACATGCACTACGGAGAGCGAAGTCCCAGGAGGAGTGGGACCAGGCGTCGCCAGTGATCGTGAACTTGGCCGGCGGGGAGTCCGTGAGTTTGCGAATGAACCCAGCGAGCACCATTTTGGTGCCGATGACCGCGGCTACATCTTCCAGTTCGGCCTCTCCGATTGTGCCGTTGGGTGCTTTGGTGGGTCAACTGGGGTACACAATGACGTGGAGCAGCAATCGGTGCCGACTGGAAGGGCGAGGAGGAGACGTCTACAATCTTCGAGTTCGTGAAGGATGCCCGGAGATTGCTGAGCATGATGCGCTCAGGCTCATATCTCGCCTAGAGGACGAGAACTTGGAGACGTTGAAGAGCCACACAGCGACCACGAGGAGCCGGGTTAAAGCAGCGGCTCTTTCAATGGAAAGGACGTGGTTCGACTACTTGCTCTCGTATGTGGATGGTGAGATGGCTTCAGAGGCTTGGAAGTCAATCGAGGCGGCTCCGTTTCTTCGTGAAGTGCCGTGCCAATGCAAAGCGGGGCTTGTGGAATCGTTTCCGGAGGCCAATGGATGGAGCGCTCTGAAAGGACTTGAGCATCTCAACAGGCGAACCCGAAAGCGCTTGTGGAACTCAGATAAATGGGTTGTGCATTTGTTTGCGGGCAAGAAGGAGCGCAAGGATCTACAGCACTTAGAAGGCCACGGGTACACGATTCTGGAGCTGGACATTGAGAGGGGCCGCACCCACGATGTTCTGAAGTCAGCAACCTGGAGAGCAATTGAGTTTGGGGCCAGAAGAGGAAAGATTGCGGCCATTGTTGGCGGTCCTCCTCAGAGCTCGTTCATGATATCCAGACACGTTACCGGTGGACCTGAACCAGTTCGATCCAATGAGTTTGTGTACGGCAATTCACCTGAACAGTCGGATTCAGATGCTTGGCTTGCTAATAAGGAGACGCAGCTCTTGGTCCGTATGATCTACCTACATGCTTTGGCGACTGCCGGAAGGATAAGAGCTGCACCAAGTCCTGAGGCGCCAAGGGATGTAGCCTTTCTACTCGAGCATCCTCGTGATCCGCGTGGTTACCTTAAGTACCCTGTACAATGATGTTGTGAGTTTCTGGAGAACGCCATTGTGGACTGAGTATGCATTGGAGGCGGGCTTCCAATCCTACAGTTTTGACATGGCTGCGTTTGGAAAGGCCTTCGCCCGTCATACTACGATCGGCACGAACCTTCCCCTCAAGCATCTCAATGGACTTCGAGCTCGGTGGCACGCTAATGGACAGGCGCCGCAGAGGTCTCCTCCAAGTGTGTGGACTTCGGAGTTCTATGAGCATGTGGTTATAGCTCTGAGAAACTGGGGGGTGATCCCCAGAATGGTCCGTATGAGTGCTGATCAGTGGAGAGAACATGTTCGTCGAGGTCACTTACCTTTCCGTTCGGATTGCGCCGTATGTGTTCAAGCAGGGGCGACGGGAAGACGGCACGCGAGGATCGAGCATCCAAGTGCCTATGTTCTGTCGGCAGACCTAGCGGGACCAGTGAAAATCGGAGGTGCAGATCCAGACGGGAGAGGTGCTTTCCCCAAGGCGTTCAAGTACATCTTCGTTGCAAAGCTCAAAGTTCCTCGGACGTTTGTGGAAGACGGCAGGGGCGTATGGGTGGAATACGACGACGGAGAGTTACCCTTGGACAAGTATGAGGAAGTGGACGATGGACTTGA